TTACAGTATTCTGCTGGCTCATTGATCCCCATTACAATCTCCATGTTGTCGTCACTCAGATTTTCTGTGAGATACAAATAAAACGAATTTCTGTCACGGATGATCCTTTAGAAAACAAAAATTTAATGACCATCTTATGATATATATATATATATATATATATATATATATATATATATATATGTATTTATTCTCGTAACCATGGCCTAAATTTATGGCAGTTGGTAAAATTATTGTGAACAGCTAAGGGACGGAGCTTGTTGATTTCATCTATTGTTAAAATCACTATCCAATGTCTTGTTAGAACAATCGTGCCTTCTAAGCGCGTGATCTTCAGTAACGCTGCGGGATAAATCGTGATCTTCAAATTACTCGCCGTTTGAACTGTCTATGTGTTTATGCACCGTGCTTACCCGTTTGTACTGGGTCGGGTTGCAGATGTCGCAGATATTACGAAGGAAGATGTAACTACTTTAGGATGACGATCTACAGAGTTGAACAATACGAGAGCACGCTTTTGTCTTCTCTTTTTATTTTATACACTTGTCTATTCTATATTAGTGAACCAATTCACGAACTATTTGCGATACTGATTGGTCTTGTTCTCGATGTATTATAGGGCGTATTATACTGCAGGTAAAAGACGGGCATAAAACCAGTGGGCATCATCATCAGCGTGCGCTCAGTAGCCTAATAACATACCGAGTTACGTTTGTCGCATTAAGCACGTAAGGCATACGATAACGGGCATGACACGCATGTGCCTATCAAGAAACCGTGAATGCGGAATATCGTTATATTGTTCGAAGATGGTTGAGTGAACTTTTCTTTGCCCCGCTTATAGTATTTGTCCATACAGATCGAGACATCTTTTACGGACAGTATTAAGAACCATAAAACCTAGTTATTTGCCGACTTTCTGTTAATCCTAAAAGTGTTTCGCAGAAGATACATCAGCAAGTGATGCCATTTAGCAGCTAAATGGAACAAAATGGTGTTACCTCTTAAAGATCCCGTATCGTGTAGCTATCTTGCGTCTTAAAGGCCACCTAACAGGACAACACCACAAGTGGCCGTACAAATAGTGATCGAGATCACTAAAAAGAAAAAAAAAGCCATACTTCTTTCCTTCATAGCATATCAAATTTGCCGATAAAAATTCACAAAGCTGCAACAAATGTCAATTCTTCCTGTAACTCTTGGACTAATAAATATCTAAAACATTTGTTTAACACACAAAAAAAAAAAGAAAAAGGTACGTTCTATTAGTATCACCATTGTCATATTTCAATGGTATCAAAGAGCACGAGCAAAAAAAGAGAGTCATCATTATCGGTTCGCTTAACCAATAGTTGAAGAACGAGTTTGCGTATTAGTATACGGTCTCCACCCAAATGATGCATTGCAGGGTTCCGTTGTAACTGTTTATTTACTATAATAAATTGACTCACGCGTTACTCATCTCCTAAACCCGGACCCAGTTCTTTTCCTGTTATTCATTCAAATGGACCCTACCAGTGGAATATGAAGACGTATAGCACTAACTCAGTCGTTATACTTTTTTTTACCTCAATATAACAATATTATGACGACAATGGAACGTATGTACGATTGTTGTTTGAGCGTGATAAGATGAAATGACTCGGTTAAGTAACGCGTCCGTCCTGAGGATGATGTAGTCATGCAGTAATGGTAAAAAAGGGACCGTTGACATTTATCTGCTTGTGCGGATGGAACCAAACGTCTTTTGTTGAGTCGGCCGCTTAGAACAAGTGAGGTCATCTGGTGCCACGTAGAAGCGATCCGGTAGGACCCGCAGAGCGATGCCCCCAGAAGGCTATGGTAAATACTGAAGATAGAAAAAGATGTACCGCCTGACTGGCGCCGAGACCCCACCGGGAGCCAACGTGAAAAAAGGGACAACGGAGACAACGAAGGCCATCTGTCTGCCTGACTGACTAAACGCGAAGACTTAGAGGTTTATCCAGTGACCGATCGAAGCACCCAGCTACGAATAGCAGTTGTATTATAATCATAATAAATTGAGCGGGGTTTTAGCAAACAGTTGCCTAAACCAAAGCTGGCTAAATACAACCATATTCCCACCCTAAATCTAACTGGTCATCCACTACGTACCAGTTGTCTACGACAGAGAACAGGAAAAACGTACGTCGTCGTCGTTGTCTCCTCCAAGTGACTATTTTTACGTTAACCGAAACCTAAACCATGTAGTTGTAACATTGATCATAGGATTTCATAGGATCATTGAAATCATAGGATTTAAACGTTTCTACCTTTAGTAACAGTGTTAATTAACAAGGTCACGTGTCTCAGGTATCATCAGTCTAACGATGCAATCTTCGAAATCCCCGTGACCGGTTGGGTAATGATAAAAAAAATGCATAGTGCTTGCAGAATGAGCAAACAGCAGGACAGAAAACATGGACTATTGCCCATTCTGTCAGCCGTGGGCGAGCAAAAGGCTAGATTACAGGTACAAAACAGAGGATCTTCAGGCAATAAGCCAGATTTGATCTTTTTTAAGCTTGATCAGAGGATTACTCTTACGTTCGGTGTGCCAGATAACGGTCGATAACCAAAGGTCGCTATGTTTTTCGCTGCACATTACTGTAGGATTCGTTCCCTGTTAGTGAATAAGTAAATTCCCTTTTCTATCTATTGCTTCCTTTGATCATGTTTTTTTTTTTATATATATATATATTTATGAATATCTATAATACATCAATCAAATGACGCTTTGCATTACAGCATTGCATATTCGTAACTACATACGTATTTAGTAGCAAATGTTAACACTATTATCTTATTACAATCAATCAATCAGCGTCAGCCAGGTTTATATTGATATATAGATTTTATGTAAGCCGCTCGATTTAGTTTGACTGCATCGTTTCACTCGGCCTGGAAGCATGTCCTACATCAGCGACGAGCTATGTCTGCAAAGGCAGTATTATGCCCTGTTGTAAAACACTGTTTTTTTTTAAACATTCAAGCTTTACATGCTTTAAAAATGATTAAGGCCGGCTAATCTCGATTGAACAATTTAAGCTATCGTACAACAATTCAGATTTGATTTCAACTCACTTAGCCTAGAAATATATTTTTCCTACGAATGTACTCTCAACTAGTCACTTCAGATTTGTCTGTTATCCATGATTGGGCTCGTTTACTTAAGCGACTAAAACCGCACATTATTATCTTTTCGGTGAAGATAAACTACAAAACGGATATATTCGTATAGTTAAAGGATAATTCGTTGTTGTTAATAATACTACAAAGTTCGTGCCCGATATGCCGACAGTCGTGGCGTATCAAGGATTAAGCCTTCACTTCATTAACGAACCGATAGTCAATCTGTGGTACGTCGACAACAAAAGATACGTCGACAACCATAACGACAACAAAAGATCTGATGCTCACTACTAAGAAACAGCGTTCATTTTCTGCTGTTTAGGTTAAGCTTTCAGCGATTCGCGCATAACCACTATCCGATTTGTGGAGAAGATAATTCTTCGAAATTGATTCTTGGGTGCCTCTATACAATGTTCCGTATTCGTGGTTGGTCGTTCTCGACTTCAAGGTGGTCTGGCGTGCGCGCCACTTACCAATACAGAAGAGGAACAAGGATGAGCTTACCGCTACGATCGTTTTGAACAACTTCGATTTTTACTAGAGGAATAGATTATTATTAATTAAATTTGGTTCTTTGAAGTTTTTCTCCTTTACAATAGCACAGATCAAGCGGACAAGTCTTTTGCACTACAGACGCGTTCGTTACAGCGGCGTCATCGAGTAATAAAGTAAATAAAAGAGACAAACGTGCATGAATGAGACTTGACCTTGAGAAACTTGTCCAAGTGTTTTTTTCATATAGCAACAGGCTTTTTAGAACCAATAAAGTTTTTAATGAGCTTTTAATGAGTTTTTAATGATAATTGCTTTTCGCCGGTTACTGAACGCAAAAAATTGTTTCCGTAGCATATATACGCTTTGACTCCCTTCTATCACACATGAAAAATGTGTAAGCTTACCTATATATATATATAGGTATAATGGTAATTTGAGGAACCTCTAGAAACTCGAATTCTTAGAGAGTCCCACTCTTGCTGAACCTGGAAGTGTTCTCAGCTTTGCCAAATAATTCTAGGTTCGAACATCCCGAACATATTGAAACGTCCTGATAATAGGACCCAAATTTGTGGTTCAACAACCTACTTCAAAAGCGAATGATTATTTTAAGTACAGAACAGTTCCTACTCTTCGTTAGATATCACGACTCAATCGTAATAACCGACGCCATTTGCATCTCGAATGCATCGGGGCAGCCTCTCAGTTCTAGCATATGATGCGTGTGTTCACAAACTGCTTCAGCCATGGCTCCATACGGAGTACACGCCACACTTTAAAAACACAGTTATCGAGTCAGCTATTATCTGACAGTGGAGGTGTCGATTCGTATGGGGTGGTCCGTTGTCGTTGACAGGTTCGTCAAAATTGACGCTGGATAAAATGCCCGCACCCGTCGATTAAACACAACACTTTATTGTGGGTATTCTTTCCTGCGGCCATCTAGATATAGTAGAGTACTGCAGAAGATCTATGGGCGCAACCCTTGAACGGAGAAATTCTTTCTGACTCCGTCTAAATCAACGACTCGCTACTGCTGTTTCAAAAGAAAATATCAGTAAGAAAATCATGTAAGACCTATACGCTTAATTTGTCTGATTATTTGAGACGATTTTCATCTTTCCCGATCAGTAGATATGCGTTAAAATCTGCAGATGCAATGTATCTGATGTACTGTAGTTACCACGAAAACACTTTTTGTTCCCCGAACGAAAATATAATATTTGGTCCCGTTAATTATGACCTTTTTTTTGCAAATTTTTAAATTGAAAAAAAAAAAATAAAATCACCTAAACAGTATTAACTAGACGATAAAACGTTTTTTTTGCTTCTCATTCATATTTTTCGTTTTTTTGCTACTCAAGCCTATTGAGTGAATTTTAGAAATGGGTCCGTCAATGATAGTAAAATAAATCCTAAAAAAAAAAAATAAATAAAAGCTTCACACGTGTGTAGTGTGCTTTCAGGAAACGCAGAATTGAAATCATGGTCAGATTGAAGCCGAAATCCCTTTGAATGACACGGCACTAGACACTATGGCGAGCACAGCGGAGAGTAAGGAGAGCCACGGGAAGAACTACTCAAGAACCGAGTTTATTTACCGCCGTAACAGGGGAATGTTTCATAACTAGACCCGACCTATTTTGATAGCAGTAATAGAACCGAGAAAATATTGCGGAATGAATTTCCTATTTCATTACGTATCCCTAAATATGTGCATCAAACGAGAGCTTTCATCTCGTCGGGGGAAAATCTTCGTTATATAGAAGCACGAAGTTCTGCATGTGTGACGTACTTTAGCCATAAATAAACATTCGTGTTACGACTGCCCAGTAATCTGTCTATGAAGATGGTGTCGGCAGATACTTTAATAATGGAGATTTGTGTGTTTTGCGGGATCCTCCTTGACTATACTAGCAAAGAAACTAAGATTACAGTGTCTTTTTTTTTAAGTCGTCTTATGGATTACAGTCCATCCACAATACTGCTTCGGCCCAAAGCCGAAAAGCTCGTTTCGAGTTAACATTCGTAGCCAATGCTTTTTCCTAGATTTCTAGACCCATTTCGTTGAAAACTGAATAATCTCTAGTCTATAACATTCCTTAGCGGTAAGAGTTTTCTTTATTAACTAATTATTAGATGAGTCGTTAGAAATGATTGATTATTCAGTCCTCAAGGAATAACTTATCCAGTTACCTAACCAGTTTACTGCTAACGCTGCAAGTAGATAAAACTAGATGCCTGAATATGTGTTTAGTTGAATGGTCTAGGGTCACATAAACTAAGAGCTTTTCGTATCAATCTTTCGTATTCTTCCGCAACACGAAGTAGGTAAGTATTGCGTTTCCCAAAAATGGCATTTCCTATTTTGTAAGAAACTATCACTCTTACTTACAGAGTGATTGGAATTAGCGAGTAGAGTCGCTATCGGACCGTGTCCTAGCCCCAGCCGCGACGAGCACTGGACTTTTCACTCTACCAATTGGAGCTACCGATGAAGCTGACCTGTTGCTATTTCGAGCATTTGCTGGTGCCAACGAACTATTTTTCACGTCTGCCTGACCTCTTTGTAGAGTCGTGGCGACACTTTCTTTTCCCAGGAGTCGGTCGAGAAAGCCCCTCACGCCAACTCGTCTGATTCTTGTGGGCCCCCGATTAATGTTGGTTATCCAGTCAGCTATTGTGGGTATAGGCAGAGATGAAGCTACCGTTGAAGGGATGTCCCGTTTCTGTTGGTTGGGAGTTGCCAGCGCAGTGAGCGGCGGGTAATGGGGAGGAGGCGAGGTTTTTACGTGGGTTCCGCTAACTGCGTCCCGGCTTGAATTTGTAGACTCGTAGATATTGCTCGCAGCTGGAAAACTCGAAAACCTGGAGCCGCGAATATCGGCAGGCGTCGACGGTGCGGCTGCACTAGTTGCGCTTGTATTTGTTGTTGTTGTTGTTGTTGTTGTTGTCTTTGTTCTGGCGGACAGATTTTGCTGTAACTTTGCCATACGACTCGATGATGTTCTGAACACAGGTGCTTGGTTCTTTGGTGCTGAAACTCCAAAGAGCGTGTCGCTTGATGAAGAGCTATCTCCATCGTAAGCCACAACTTGAACGGCGACATCTGTTGAAGAATTCGAAGCGCCCATCTCTGGTTGTCGATCAAGCGGGATCGTCACGTTAGAAAGCGTAGTCGCCCTTCCCGTTGACGAGGATGACGGCGGTGGTGGCGCCGCCGCCGCCGCTGCTGCTGCCGCCGCTGTCGAAGGCTGACCATCTTGTACTGGTGGCCTTCCAGCCGCCTCCCCGAGACGCGACTCAAGTAGAGCCAAAAGTGTATCAAATCCAGCAGCCCTCCTGTCTTGCCTACCTCTTCCACCGTTTAGTTGATTTTGCTCCGACGCGTTCTGGACGACCGCATTGGCTGGTGCAGCCCCGCGGCCTCGGCCACGTCCCCGGCCGCGGAAACGACCGCGTACTCGCCTGCTGAAGAAACAAATTACTTAGAAAATAGCCATGATAACCATAACAACCATCTAAAGTAGGTCAACATCGCTGTCATAATACGTAATAGATCATGCTTCAAATGAGTATTGCATACACGATGAAACCTCTCAACAGCTGTGTTACCGCCTGTTACACAGTGGCCAACAGCCTCGTCTAAGTTACTCGTTGGAGGATTAAGAACCATGTTCTGTCATTAAAACCTAGACGGCGAAATTTCATAAACTTAGACAAACACTGCGCTAGATCGAATATTGAAAGCAAATTGAAACATCGATCTCAGCGCATTGCGACAAATGTAGATACGTATAGTCTTGCACAGCATTATCGAAAAGTAAGTATAATAGTAAATTTTAGTACTCTAACTTGATCCTAGAACGCGTTGTCAAGAATAATTTAATACAACGACAGTTTACATAATTATAAACACGAAGGTGTGGGGTTTTGAGTTAAGTAGGACAACAGAAAACGCAAATGATACCAAGTTCGCAATAAAAATTAGAACTCGATCCGACCACTCAGAGCCCAACATTCTCTGATCGAATCACGTAATTTATTATGGTACAGAAGTATACCGACATCACTGCTCAGCCAAATGTTTGGGTTCTATTACACAGTAGAAAATGTCTGCTGCTCACTAAAAATCATAGCAAGGTATGTCTACAGTATGCATATATAGAAGCCATCCTAGTCCACCACTTCCGGAGCTTTTCTATAGATGGATTCCTACTATTAGATAACAGTGATTCTAGGAAGTTGTAGGAAACGCTGATCACTTTCAAAGCATTGTATAGCCTGTCTCGTCACTGCAACATTACCTCAATTAATTAACGATTTACAAGTTTCTTCTCGTCTATCTGTCATTCCGTGTTTTTCAGCTGTGGTTCCCAGCAAATAACTAACAATGTTATGCGCTTCATCGACTGCTTGCTAATATCTAAGAGTGAGATCGTCCACGTGAGGCATAATGATTACGTGTATGTAAGGCGATAGATATTCAGAGACACACTGTCCTGGAACTTATGAAACAAGCCAATGGCAGTCTCGTCATAACACGGCTCGTGGAGAAGTTCCTCGCAGCTCACCAGTTTATCGCTAATCGAGGAACAACCTATAGCATTAAAAGTTTGTCCTTTTGATTAGTCACCACTTAAAATCATATTCGTAGGTTTTCGCTTTAACATACGATATAGGTAATCTCTAATATACGCTTTTGGTATCAGTGCACTCATATGTTGAGCTTTATTCCTGATAATATGAACTTCGGCCACCAGTCGTCACTATGCGGTAAATAATACATCTGTGAAGTAGTTGAAACAAAAAGACAGGAAGATTACTGAAATTCGTTCTGGTAGAATGAGTCTTCGCAATAATAGGCAGTCAGTAGAGACAACGACGCGTCCGCCGCCTCTCTTATCGAGAGGATCAAAGCAGCTGGAGGCTTGATTCCTTGGGAAATCGACGCTCGAAAATGTATCTGCCTGTTTCTATATATTATTTTTGATCGACCAGCTCTTTCTTTGGGCTTATTTAATTTTGCCAATACAGTTTTTTTTTTACTGTATAAATGGATTGGCTGCTGTTTGTAATAATGGCATTGCTCCGCGACCCTATAACGAACTCGTTATTTAACTCTGATTTTATGACGGACGGGTTTGTCGTCGACTAGCTTCAATGTTTTGTTGTCGCAGAGATCGCCACCTAAAGTCCCCTTCCACCCACGTCGCCATCTAAAGGAGCTCGAATCCAGGGTATCCATTAGGTAATTAATGGTCAAAAACAGGAGTTGAATGATGACTATGTGAGACAATCATAAGACTGATACCAAACTTAAATGGCCTGCTGCCATTACACAGCGTTGCATATAAACAAACTTACTAGTTGTACGTAAGTGCATGTTTTTTTCAGTGTAATTACTCACTGAATTTAATAATTTAATTAATCTAATTAATTTAATTAATATTAATGAATTTAATAAGAAATTAGGCTCAAATTTATCATTATTATACTTGAGATGCTACACCACATCGATCTTTGTTAAATAACCTTTTGAATATCAATATTTGCTATCACACCCACCCAGATTTTCAAAAATTTTCTTAGAAAAGTTTCCTAAAGTTCATGTTTACTCAGCACAAAAACCAAATCTGCTGTATGCCTGGTGCCGGTAAATAAGCATACCTGGAACTCTTCACTTAATAAGTCATCTAGCTGTTTTGTGCCGTTCATTGATATTCTAATCAATCATCGAGTCGTCGCGATAGCGCCGCAAACCTTTTAAGGCTGACACAGACATTGCATAAATCTATGAACGGCTCGCCAGTGTTCGTGGTTTAGTCAATCGGACCAGAGAACGCCTGATATTAGGCCAAAGCTGTTGCATCCTTAAACAACCACCTATTGAGGGTAGCCTAAGTATGAAGAGTTTGGAAGAGCCCCTAAAGAGTTCATTTTATATTTATTAAGGCAGTAGAAACAAACTGGAATAAAGAATAGATTTAACTTCCAACATGATTTAACAGGAGCATTATATTAAAAGTAGTATTTTTAAACAAACCGCACGGTGTTGGGACCTTTTCAATTACCATAGTCATAACCATTGTAGCCATTGCGTTTGACATATTAGAATTAAATGTACATGTATAATATAGCGTTGTGCTTTTGTCACAAATGTGTGTTACACAGTGAAATACATACCGTTTATTGCAATAATATTTCGTGCTCTTTCAACAAATTTCAGATGGAGATGTGAATGCCACTCTGTATATATATATATATATACGATGCTCTCTTATCTAGCTTGGTATGTTTATAGAGATTTGTTTCTTATGACTGGTCGAGCTTCGGCCAGGCGCCACCTGGGTAAATACATAATAGCCGGCGTATGGACAGTCAGGCCTTCCTGTTTGGCAACCTACAAATCTTGTCTTTCTGAATAAGAAAAGATGCAACCAAAAACTACCTATTATTAGAGCTTTCTGCAGCTTCGGAAACTGACACTGGCTTCAATACTGACTTCAGAAACTAAAAAATATGGAACAACAATAACTGTTACGGCCTGGCTCGGTCGAACCTGTAACAAAACCTACTTTTTTTTGTGATAAGCTAAAGGAAAACTCAGATCTATTCGCAAATTTATCTTGCCCGGGCAGGTGCGGAACCCTCTCCACCTCAAAAAGTTATACCTGTTGCATATAACAAAGAGCACTGCAACCTCAAACTTTGTCAGTAGACTAATCATATACTATAGTTTCTACTGAAGTTTAACGACTGGAAGAGTTTTGTACCTCTGATAGAACACTGATTATAGTAGGCGCGTTGACGAGGATCATCACCAGCGGAACCTATACGGATAATGATAGTCAGATCGTGGTTCACTTTTCAGAAAATGCCAACTTTTAACGCAGCGTGTCTGGTATCTAATCTTCAATGGCTACAAGTACGACAAAGGAAAATAATGCTTTGTTCACAATATGCTAAACGTGTTGCGTAATACGTGTGAACGGTGCATCTCAGGAAGCGTAATGACTATACTAGAGAGAGTATTCAGGAAGCTAAACACTCTTATAGATAGTTATTTTCGTTATATAACGAACTGTATATAATTAAAGACACACAGGAGAACGGATCTCTCGTAAACGAATCTCAATGCAGGTTGTGCACGCTGGTGCTGATGTATGATAGGCACGCAGCGATCGGCAGAAATTATCTAAGCGTGAAATTTTACTTAAATATAGGCCATCGATAACTCATGTTTAACTGTACCTTGATAACACAGCAGTAGAATCGCCTTTGGACGAAACTCTGGCCAATGTAAATGGGTCATCCGGTGGAGGAGCAGGATCGGAGCATCCATGGCGAGCGGATAGAAATCTGGAGGATCGCGTAAACACAGAACGAGTTTCTGGCGCAGTTTGTGTCGAACGACTTTCAACCGCAATTTCAGTTCGACTTAGAGCTTGATTACACATAGGGCATTCAAATTCCGTTTGACATGCGGCATCCCTGCACAGGCGAGACGAGTCGTCTTGGGATATTTCTACAGGTTGTGACCATCCCGCCGAAGGTGCCTGTTCGCTGAAGCTCACTTCACTCACTGAAATTACTGGAACAGTAACAGATTCTCGGATCAAATCCGTCGTTTTCGGTTCGGATTGGGAAGCATCTCTAGATGCTAGGTCAACCAATTCCTCGGTTGTTGAATGGGATGGAAATGAGAAATGCCTCAATGACATTTTGAATAAGGCTGCGTTGTTTTCGCTTTGATAAGAGGCAAACGGTGGTTTGGTTCGCTCCAGCACGATCGTCGTTTCACGAAAGCCGGCGTCACGAACGCCGTCACGAACTCCGTTGTAAAACATACGCAGTTCAACCATTCAGCACGTCCGAGAGCAGGTAACGTCCCATCGGGACGGTTACGGAGGCCACCTTTGACCAACATACAAACGAGTCATGCTAAAAAGGAACTTCTGTTTGTGCAAGTCATGCAGGTTACAGAGGTCCTCATCATTTTTGCTGTGGTCGCACACGAATAAAGCCATTATGTTATTTTGGTGATCAAATTTCCATGAAAACATTTTGAAGATTATTGAACCACGAATTACCCTAATGGAAGTTAGCGTTGTTATAGGTCAATCAAGGCCGCTTTCTACATAGGCTTACTAGGAAAACGTTTATGAACGTTTGTTGTTGTATTAATAAAACGATGTCAAATAAAACTGCTGAAATTTTCTATAAGCTTCGCGTGTTGATTGCCGAATCATTTTCTGAGGATCTTTCAAATATATCGAAAATATTAGACGAGGTTAGACCAAAAAATAGATGAAAAGTGCATCCTTCTATATAAGCTGCATTTTGGAGCACCTTAAGATAATCATTGGCATTACCAAGTAGTTAGCCAGTCCAGAAGCTGTGGGTTCAGGTGTAATTCCACCACTCGGCTCCATAGATCTTCTCAACAATCAAATGTTTATGACGGTTTGTATTATTATTATTATTATTATTATTCAACGATATTTATATAAGGCGTTCACAATTACAACGCTTAATCTGTTTATAGATTTGCTGACTAAATCAATAGAAGATACGAATAAAACCTAATCCGCATGTGATCTCAGTATAATAAAATCTAACTAACTAATAAAAAAATCTAACTAACTAATAAAAAAAATCTAACTAAGCAAATTATGTTATTCTATATAGTTGTATCTAATTGCTCATGTATACAAGCTTGAATGATGTGACTTCGTAACATTAGACTTTATGTGACTTTACCACCACTATCTACCGTGTATATAAGCCTATAATCATCCATGACATCGCAATAACTGCCAGTCGGACATGGTTATTTATGGCTGTTGTTGTTTTTTTTTTTAATCAGAACTCTGTTCTTGATTCAGGCTGATCCGATGTGTCGTCTGTGAAAAACATTTTTGAATTTCCCGCCACTCAACCACCCAAGACAGCCGTGCGAGGCAGGCGCTACCCACAGCTATAGCCGAGGTCGTACGCGAGGACAATACCAACAACGACTCCAAGTATGAGTAGTAGGTAGTAATGTCAACAGGAAAGATGGCGACGCGCGCTGTGTGATGGAGTCATTGTCGGCTGCTCGTGCAGTTGCTATTGCTGGTGTTACGGTTACAGCTATTGAGTGTTGTTGATGGTTCTTGGCCCTAGAGTGATCGTCGGACTTTTTCATCACAAATTTGTCGCTTTTAGACGATTTCAGACCTTTAGTTAGTGGCGGCCCCTATCAGATAGCGGTGTGTTTTTGTTCGCGGCGCGTCTCATCGGAGCCCATACGCCGAAATTCATCCCCCCACATTTCATTCGCTTGCAAGCAGCAAAAGCGACAGCAGTTGCTAGCGAATTTGTTATTGTGGAGACGTAGCTGGGCGAAACCGTCTCTCGTCACGAACTACGGCCACAACTGCTCGTTACCAACTCCAATTGGTCCCTGTTGCTATTTGCGCTGTTGCGGCTTATGGTAGTATGACTGATACAAATATCGTTACCCTTACGAATCCTGCAGCTGCTGATGTTGTTACTCTCAAGTAAGGAAAAGTGGTAGTTGAGACTAGCACTCATCGAAGAGTGGATTTGTCTTCGGAAGAGCGCCTTTGAGCTGAACGGGGAGAGTGGAGCGCCATGCGTGGTGCTGTATCGTATTACGACTGCAATTGGCGTAATTATTCGGGTTTTCGCTGTCACCGTTACCCGTAGTTGAATACAGGGAGGCATCTTATTTCGCCGGGGAAGGGGGTAGGGATTTGCTCATTAGAACAAGTGCGATAGCAAAAAGACGAAAAAGAATCGTTTTTATTTGTTGTCTCGAGAGACGGGCGGCGCACGAGAACGCCAGCAGCAAACCAAGAAGTGGTTACCGCTGCTGCCGCCGCGGAATCCAATTGTGTGTGTGTTTATTATTGAGCGAGACAAAGATATTAAAGTGTGTTTAATCAAAGTAAAGTGTGGCTAAAATAGGAGCGAAACACAGGTGCGATGGACGAGGCGGCGATAGCCCGCAAGCTAACGTCGATTGATCTGTCGCAGGAGTGCGTTGAGACCCTGTCATTGTGGGTTCTCCATCACAAACAACACAGTGATCTCATCGCGCATGTATGGATCAAATGCCTCCGAAAAGGTGAGTGTTCCGAATACTGTGATTTGACAGTACGCAACGTAAGTGGAACGTATGTATAGAGAAATCGCTAAGACCAGAGCAGAGGGAAGAATCACGACGGCGTTTAGTGTAAACGATTACCGACGCTAACTAACTAGAACTCGCTAATGACACTATGGCATGGTACGTAAATAAGCATTAGCTCGGGCATATATTTTTGTTGGGGAAGCTTATCCGCCAGTTGAAATTCGCGACGTACCGGGAGAAAATGGACACCCCTATCATCGCTTCTGTTCTGTTTAGAGCTACGTAACTTAAGGGCCATATTTCATACTTAACTGACCAAGTAGAACACTGACTACCAAATAGCTAGCCTAGACTAAGAGAGTGTAGCATTTGCTCTTGAGACCACCACGATGCTATCAGTATACACGAATCGCTATTACGGCATTCAAATATATACCAAGTATAACGGACACAACATCTACAGCAAGAGACAATTGATGCGCTGGTTTTTCCAGCTATCTAACGGATCTCCCGATTTAATTACGACATTGGTTGCTATAAATTTCGCGGTGAATAACGGGGAGTTGCGATGCACTTACTATATTGTATTATAGAGGGAAAAAAAACATCGCAGACAAAAGAGATAGTAATCGTCGATGATTGTTACTCATTTTGTAAGCATCCATCAAAGAATAATATTCAGCTTACATCTAAGGTTAGTGTAAATAATTGAGGCGGCGCCGCTTGTCGTACACGTCGACCGCAGCATTACCTGACGCTGCCTTCGTTTTCGAGCAACAACGGTCCGTATCTCTTTGAATTCGAAGGAGTAGGAGTAGACGACAGGTTAGAGCAGCCCTGCGTCGTGTCATGCAGGTAGCCATTTGTTTTGCCTAGGACAATGATGATTTGTCATGTTGCTTGTAATAGGGGCACGATTGGGCAGATTCAGAAGCCTCGAGGTCTCCATAGTTCAAGTGAAATGTATTCTGTATTGGTAGTTAGTGTGTTTTTTGCTACTCCCATCTCTTCGTGTGTTGTATCTAGAAATGATTAGCGGACGGATAGAAGTTTTTTTTGTGTGTGCAGGCGTACAAGCGAGAACTAGGCGGCGCGGTGGACTTAATTCCTATTTGACATTAAAGAAAATCGACTTAGACGAGTAGTGCTCATTATAAACTGTCTCACTAACAACTATAATCGGTAAGAAAATGACTACAGTACAGAAGGTAGTGAAAGTTGATTGTTTTCAAGAGTGCTTGTCCCTTATTATCCCGTTAATGTATAAATCTTAAATACTCAATAGATAATAATATTTAAATAATAATTTTGCGTCACAGTTGGCTCGAAATTATGTATGAAAATACATTTTGGGTCCCAGTGTCGGAACCGCTTAGCTTTACCATTATTCGACGATACTTTAACGTCGCAGACTCATACCGGAGCTGGGAGTTAACGAAATCTGGCAGCGTCAAAACGAATACAAGTAAATCGTATCATCCAATAAATTTCCGCCATTTTATTCTTCGTGAAGTAAGTGTCCAGTGTTAGCGAACTTGTCAATGGATTTCGAATGTCAATTAATTAATCACTGGACGATGTATGCCGTTTACTTATTGCAATATGCTTAAAAAGATCGATAATACATCTGTTTCTCAATTCGCTGTCTTGAAAAGGCTTAATATTTATTGTGCAATATGCTCGCCATGACACAAAACGATTTACACGTCTTATGTTTAGAACTGTAATTTTGTGTTTTTAAAATTGTGCAACAACCTGTACAATCAATCCAAGAGCAACAACTTTTTAAAGAACTGCTTAGTGCATAAAAGTAATTGTCCACACGAGATTCTTGCACTTTTCCAAGATAAACTGTTAAACATGATTTTTTCCCAAGCTTTAGGAAGGAAATTGTTTGGTTATCTGTTATGGCCATCATGTCACACGGAGCGTATTGTTACTCAATTGCCATGTTCGACTCTCTATTGTACATGTCCATAGGTGATTATTATATCTGTTTGTGTTAGAGATTAGTGACAACTGTACGTGTGTAATCTCTAATTGGTCTCAGGCCCGTTACTTTACCAATGCCATCGGTATTATATGGTTAAGGCAAGCAGGTCCTGTAAAGGTCATTCGGCTTTCGTGTCTTGTAAGGTCTCCAGTTGAGCACAGTAGACGTCTACTGTGTGCATTCTGGACGTACCAGGGGAATTGAAATAAGTAATATTTTTCGTAATTCGGTCAAGTCCTTTTGATTTTGTTAAATGTTTAATAATTGTTATTTCTATTATAGTTTTCCATTTACGAATTTTCAACTGATGCGCCAAGCTGGCTGACAATCAGATATAGATAACGCCCAATTAATAAAATTGTAGCGTATTCCAAACCAATGCTGCTATATCTGCAAGTTGAGGTGGTCGTGGTGTTGGAGTTCCCGGACTGATAATAGGGGTAATGGGAGTTCGCAAGGAAAGCCTTCCATTAATTTCAAGCCACCAGTGACTCGAAACAAACACAAGTCACCATAGCTAGGAAAGACTGGAGCTCCAGACTATCATTACGTTTACCGAACGTAATATGTTCACTCACATACAGTAGAATAGGTAACTTGAAGCTAGCTTATGTTGTTTCAAGCACTATATTTAAAAGTTTTGGACAAATCCCATCTGCCCTTTCGTGCTATACACGTGCCATCCTGAAATAACCTAAGTATCGTTCAGCATTTTGTAAATGTATTAGGTTATGTGATAGACGTTACTTTTGTGCTTTAAAAGATGATTTTTTTATAACACTTTATTATTTGACGCAATTATTTTTGAGATGACTTTGTTTTGATATGTGCCTGTACTTATCGGAATATGCGACCGTTCACTCGGATATTATCACCGAAGCTTTTACCTGAGAGTGTGGATTTGCAGTGGACCATCGAAAATGTGAAAAGCTTTAGCGGCTGTATGAACCTTATACTTAATAAACATTTTACCATTAGAAACTCCGTACGCCCTTTAACAATTCCCAAGGAAAATTTTGATTTTTTTATGTAAATGATCTGTTTTAATATGGCGAAGTATTCAGCGTTATAATAGAAACTCATCGATTTTAGTGTGCGAGTATTTGGTGCATGCAAAAATATTATACTTGTTCACATTGGTAAAATCTATAGGGCAAAAAAATTAGGCATATGGATGCCACATGCTGTGGAGAATATTGAAAATGTGGAGACGCTCAACAATGAGCCTCTTCTTGCGCTCGCGTGGCAAAAGTGGCTCATTGTTGCATCGAGGAGTGATTTGTGATGAAAAATTGATCTTCTACGATAATCGTAAGCGATCACAGCAGTGGGTGAACACCATTATACCAGCTGGACATTATTCGAACAATAATGTTCAGTATGGTATTTGTTTGGTGGGACTACAGCTTCGTAAGTCTTGATCTGTCAATGTGAAGTGTACTGTCAATAATTGAAGGAGATGATGAACTAATTTCGCATTAGGCAGCCAGATTAGTGAGCAGAAGTAGACCACGCCTATTGTAAGACATGTGAACATAAAAACCCGTAATCACGGCAGCAGGGGCCAGTAGAATTAGTATTTCAAATTTCGCGCGCGTAACCTATAGTAATCTGCAAATAGGTCATGTGGGAGTAAACAGTATACGGCAGGTGTCGGACTAATTTGACGCTTGTTCTATAAGCAGCAAACACGTGTTCATAGCAAATCTGTCACTTCGTAGCGACTGAGTGTAGGATCAAGGAGGCTCAGATTGTCCGGTAACGAAAGCATTAGGAACGGATATTTTTCGAACTGAAGGAATACGAGTTGTGGAAACTTATCCCAAAAAAGTGATGCAATGAGCGACAGTCAAGGTAGAACGGAGTGCGCTTGGGGGCGCATGCATTTGCTCGCCAGCTTCATAGCAGCCTCTCGTGGACGGGCACCTTCTTCGATGACGTATCCATCTTCAGCATTCCGATTGAAGGGATACTATTTAATGGTCCTATTAAAACACCCGAGGAAATCCCTCGAGAACGCTCTAACGCTGTCGCAAATCCTTTTTGAATATAACGACTGAGAAGTTTCGACCATCTTCAAGTCGTACCGTGTTCACCTTCTCAGATTTAGTCTGGCGAACGATCAGAAGAGCAAAAGCTATCTATAGAAGCAGCTGGTGTCGCTATGTGCCTGATTGGAATGGACTACGAACTCATATCTTCTGTCAAAATAGCAGCCGGCACAATTTATTCCACCAGCCCTCCTACGAAACGAATGATTTCTTTGTGCCCTAACGCAAAAACCAAGTGCCAACTCTGAAACAAACCCTTTCGGAAGCGTCTGCTTCTAACGTATTATACGATAAACAAGACATGACGAGTTGTACGAAAATTGGCCATTACTTATATAAGCTAAGTGGAATCAAAACCTCGTTAATTGTAGAATAATATGCATCGCGCAAAAAGAACGCTTGTTCTACCTTTGATTGAGATATCGATCTATAACTACATAACCTTCAGTTTTGTTTGATTGAAAGAGCATCGAATCATACTTGTTCTTTTTACATCAGATATCCTAATGTAGCGGCGTTCGATATAGTATTGCGTTTTTGTGCTTACTTTGTTCTTATTGGAAATAATCTTGAATTTTTCCGTGTTAGTCTTTATTGCCATTACTCGCAGCACATTATTTTTTTAAATAAGCTTCAGACTTTTTAAGTTTTTCTAAATGTTTTAGAAAACAAGTGATAGATTTAAATTCTGTTTTGTTATTTGCAAGCACTATGCGGAGAATATCTTCAAGTACGTTTCTCAACTATATACCTTAAACGTATTATTTATTTTAATATTTTAACGAGGTACGAATTTATGCGTTTAAATCAGTCTCCTGACGAAATAGTTTCCATGTAAAAACCGTATGTTGCTATTCAGTGGATCAATGAGCTTCGTGAAAAACTTGATCAATTAAGCACGGCCAACCGATGAACACTGATAGTATTTACCTCGCCTTTGGCCACCTGCGACTAAAAGCTGATTCAATACCATCATAGAATGATAAATTCAGAGGCAAATATACCCGATGGTGCTGAAAATGCAACGAAACCATTGGTGTAATTACAATAAAAGATAGAAGCCTACGGAGGAGGTAATCAAACATAAACGGGTTGATGCTTAGAGAAGATTCTCATAAACGGCAACCGTATGCGCTAAGTGGGCGTTTGCTAACTATAATTCCGCAAATTGTTTCTAAAACTATGTGTTTTCTATTTATGTTTCCACTTTTAGTTTAATCTATTTTTTTTTTTTGTTATTTGTTATGTTTTCATTACAGTTTAATGTGCCACAGCAGATCTGATATTAGACCGACAGAGGGCATATTGTTCATGTTCTGTTTTGCTGAAAAGCTTCAGTAATAACAACACCGACACTCTCGTTCGGTGTCCTAAGCTGTAGTCACAAATCCTTTTTCTTACGAGATCCGGAAGAATACAATCATATACCTAGTATGGAACCTACGTTACTGTAGTACTATTAATTAAACCTTGATGTCTTCATCTGAGCTATCTAAAAAGTCACCGAGCTTTTAGAGCCGCCACTGAATCCACAATAACATTTTTTTGGTGAAACGCAAAGGTGTTTCATATAAAAAGAGGGTATACCATAGTTCAGTGGAATCCAATACGCAATCCAATGTGACCACAAGAAAGAGGGCAGAATCATCGTTCTCCGATGATGCTCAACACACTTAGCCTAGGACTTTATCTGAATATTAGATTTCGTCTGCTAATGGTACGCAGTGTATAAGTTGAATTTTCTAAATAACTTGGGGCAGCCTAGTAGTATGGTAGACTTAAATATTCGGTTTGCTATGTCGAAATATATTTAAAAATGGATAGAAGTACCTTAATAATAAGTAGATAAAAAAAAAATAAACTTTTTTGGTAATTCAGTATCACAAATACTTTTAACAGAAGACTTTTTGTCGGCCCTAGAAGGGATCAATTTTTACTAAAACGTAGCAAATGATTATAGTAATAATTTCTTTAATACTTATCGTAATAAAGAAGACCAAGCCGGTGTGTATTACATGCCATGGCGGCACTTTTTTTTCAAACATGTGATCATCTACAGCCATAGGATATAGCTGCTTAATGAATGGACGAATTAAGACATCTAGACTAAGTTCACACCGTACTTTGGTAGCGCCAAAAATAGCATCTTTTGCCCAAATGATGTGTGTAAATTAAGCAAGATATGTACCTCCTTTGCGAAACCTATATGTACATATAAATTGCTCTTTGTTGTCGGGCTAACTGATTTATACGTCGTTAAACGCTTGATGTTATAGGTTGCATTGATGGACGACCTTAACTTATGCAAGTGTGCACAACATATACTTAGTTAGCTTCGAAACACTTAGTGCAAGCAATTCGAAGATCTGAGCAGCGGTCCGAGGAGTCGTGCTGCTGAAACTCATGATGGTATCAGACTTGCCAATATTAGTTACACGAATCAAAGTTAGCTGCGTATATTATGTATTTGGCAATTTAAACGTAATTCTAAACAGTTACGCAGATACGCTAGAAACTAGATCTAATAAATAACATTTAAGAAATTTGATGTCCACAAGTGAAAAATTATGTTACCATCTGTTACGGATGAATGATGTTAATTTCTTTTTCGAAGTTACGAAATTAAGTTAATTTTTTCAGTTGTGATGATAGACACACTTGCACTTTTGAGTTCTAAAGAATACAAGTTGAGAGATTTTAGCTGGGCCACATGATCTGAACAATCGATTTATTTGCCTCCTTTAAGGCATAATATTAGAGTTATATTTTGCCATCAAACATAAAAGTTCTAATATTTACTGGCCGCTTTAAATCTTCTATAAACATATATATATATATAGCTGCGCTGAAGCTGATTACAATTATTTTTGAATGAAGTATGGGTCGATCGAAAGGAACTTTTATATCAATTAATGTGATTTTTTTTATCTTGTAAGCGGAACAGACGGTTTGCGCGAACACACGTAGCTATTTTTTTGGGAAGTTGCCTTGTTGTAAAATTATCGGCCGTATATGATCAGGCTTATGTCTGTTTAGTAGAGCTTGAGCTGAAGCAAATGAGGATGTTTAGTAGGTACATATTTATTTGTTTTTATAAACCGCTTCTTTCCAGACAATTTTAATGAATCGGTGTCTTCAATTCTATTTGACAAAACTTACGTATTTTATGTGAAAATGGACTGTAAATAGGAGCTGTTTACGGAAAATCAGTGTGTTGTAAGGATTTATTACGAACTTCATAACAGTAGGGCTTATGATCAGCGGAGGATTTGCTTTGTATACTGCGCTTCGTCTTCCATTTTCTAGTGTTCCCCGACAAACGTACGTTATTTTCTTATTCTAAATATGTCGATATTTACTTTGCACTGAATTACAGCTACGGTGCAAAATCGTCTGGCATTGCTTTACCTCTGCAACGACGTCCTACAACGGTGTCGAAAAGACAAACCGCAATTTCTTGCGTCATTCCGAGAAGTTCTAATCGACGCAGGGCCATTGCTCACCGATCCGAAGACCCGGAAAAACGTGCAACGTGTGTTCAATATCTGGAAGGAGCGAAAGGTTTACGATGAGGCGTTCATTCGGCAGCTGCAGGACGGTGATAGTGGTAGCGGGAGCAGTTGCACTAAAAAGCAAGGTTAGTGCTTTAGTGGAACATTTTGACGTCATTCATAAGTCATATAAACGCGAGGTATGAGCCTGCCAGAAAGGGAATAATAACAAGCCTACTCAGACAACACCATATGGTTCGCTCAACGAAACGCGTCTGAGTGAGCTGTTCAGTCAATCGCTGTCAGGACTTCCGGGAGCACGGCCAATCGATTCTGGATTCTGGATGACTGTAAATGAATTTTTTCATAGACCTAGAGGACAGTTTTGTTCGAGAAGAGCAAGCGAATCTTTTTACCGCGAATATTTAGCGAACACGTAGAAACAAATTTGCAGAACCATGAGCAGCTTAGATTGACTAAGCAAATTTCTCACGACTGAAAACTTTTCGTTCACTGAAATTTCAGGTATATTTATTTGAATTTATCTGCATACCTATAAACCAAACGTATTTAGGGAAAATTATATAGGTAGTAAAGGTACAGTAATACCATAAAAGCAAAATTCTAGGCTTGCATTGCCAAAAACTATAGATGTTTATGGCTAAGATGCCTACGCACAGATTGCTTAATCACTCGACAAACGCTCGGCAAAACTTCCCTTGAGTGTCATAAATTAAATGTAATATAAACGAGACTTTTCATCCGTCGAACACGAGTACACTTAAATTAAATAGGTAAAATTTGTGTATTTCTTTGTACGCTTATAATTAAGCGTAATCAAACTGCAAAGAGAGAAGAATTATAAACAAAGTGTTTTGTAATTTGGATGATTTATAAGGCGTCGGCTGATAGTTTAGACGGCAGTCTCTCATGCTTTGTTTTGCTGTGTTTAAGATGTCATCAGCAGTTCGTGATTTTAAGCCAAGTTCGAACTATCAGATGAGGTTTATACGTCTTTCCTTTTTATTTCTTGAATATAAGTTCTATAGAAGTAAAGCATTGCAGAAAAAAAGCAACTAAAGCCGGAGTTACCCTCAGACCTTTCAAGTTTCGGCTGTTTTCTCATAAGGTGAAGTAATGTTTCAAATAATTTTTGTTAAAGTATAGGTATTAATCAACTTAGTAGATTTTCAAGTTTCAAGTAGATTTTCAGTTTTCGTTGCCGTTTTTTCATGTTGCTGCTGCCCATGATATCCAGCAGTAGTCGCGCGGAGTCCTTCACCCCCACCTCCTCGAACACCTTCGCCGCCACCGCCGGAGGTGCCATCCCCAACTGATGATGAAGTTATCGATTTTGAGCCCACTCGACTCGTTGAACAGGTAACGACTACGGCCGGACCGTCATGTGCGTTGGTATATCATTTAGTATATTGCTCGGACTGCGAGTATTGACTCATATATGACACTTTAGCAGTAATATACAAGACAAAAATATGACACGAAGCAAATATAATGTCAAATTTTACACTTAGCCTATTTATGCTTGTCGGTTCGTCACCGCTGAACGCTAAACAAACGCTCCTATTATGACTGCGATCGAAGGAAATTTATCAAGTTTCTAACGCGTAACGATAGAAGCAGTTAGACTATTGAGACTAATTGTACTTAATCTACATACTATAGGTGAAGAAGGTTCGCAAGCTTGAGCTGGATGTTGGCGTCAAGATGGGGTCTTTGTCGGCTACAAAGTTGGACATCTCAAAAAGCGACGTGTTAGCTGAGTGTAAAGATCGGAGGCACTGCGAGCAGTTCGAAAAAGATTTTGATGAAGGCATCAGATGCTTACAAGGATACGTTACGTAAGTAACGTTTTGACTGCGTAATCGTTCACTTTAGACTATAAAGTGAAGAACTTAAAATATTTGTAATTCAATAAAAATGTCCTCTGTTATTTAAATAATTTGAACTTTTTGAGGTATACTCTCAATGTTCAATCCAACATTTTATATATATTGGCCGAGGTCAGGTCGGTTATTTTTACTAATCTCAATTGATATACACACTTTAAATGCAGGTTAATTTATGCACATACACTAACCGCTGTGTGTGCTTGTTGATTCTATCCTATTTGACAGGGCCCTGGAGAAGAGTTTGTCGGAGCGGCGCGAGTTAGCGCAGCTGCTAAACGACGGAAGTCGTTATTATGCCCACCAATTGTCAGACGTCCAATTAGTGACGGAAGCATATAGAAGTTTCGCGTCTCGAGTTCGAGGGGTGAAAGAGGGTCTGGGAAGATTTCGTATTCCGACACCACCTCCTTTGCCCGATGAGTGTCCTTCACCGACTGATAGCGAAATGGATATGATCATGTCGCCTCATCGCTCCACACCGCCGCCTCCGCCGCCGCCCCCCCCACCAACAGCAACAGCTCTATCGTCGCATGAATCCATCGGACGACGAGAGAAGCAGGTACTATCACTATTTAGCTATGTAGGATGCATAATAGATAGATATGTCAGTGATCTGGCCCAAACAGCAGAATGAACTTGTTCTGATTCTGAAGCTTTTTTTTTTTTTGTCGTTTATAAGCGTTTACCGCTTATTTCAACATGGCTTCAGTTTAGAACTCAGCTGGTTTTTTCCACTGATTATACGTTGCTGAAAACTGAAAAGCGTGAAGCAAGATGCTTGTCATGCTAACCATTGTGCGGAAACCGTATTAGCGTTGTCTCTTTACCGGGTTAAGAAAACCGAATAGTTCCATGATTTCTTCTTCTGTATCTGAAGGGGCAATTATTTCCGCGCAGAACGTAGCTCTTTCATGCCTTTTTTTCATAGTAACTCTTTTCGTCATTCGTACAAATCATGCTCATGAAGTACTTTGCAGAGTTGTTAAGCAGTTGTAACTTCGCATGCGTAGATGTCATCGATTACGATAACGAAATCAGTGGAAGTTTTGTTTCGCTATAGGCTGTAACCTAAACATAGTAGCAGCTAGTGTGAAAAGTTACACAGAGCGTGATTTTGATCAGATATACTTTGATGAGTGGAGATTCTGTAATTAACGACACCTTCGTTGTGAATGTAATGGTTATGCAATTGATGGTTATTGCTGTTGGCGTTTTCAGGAGCCAAGTTCATCATCATCATCATCGAGTTCGATCCATCGCCGAGACCGAAGTCGGTCCCCGCCTCCGCCGTTAAATGACGCATCACTGACGAAGGAGTTCAATTTCAATCCAAGAATGAACTCAGGCGCGTCGTTTATGAACCACCGTGATCCTCAATTTTTGAGCAAACTAAAAGAAAGCTTATCGAGGGATTCGAGAATCTCGCAGGAATCGCGAGACTCACGAGACTCGCGGGATTCAAGAGATTCACGAGACAGTGAAGATATGGGCGGGACGCCTGTTAGAGATGAAGATCGATCGTCCACACCTGGTACGGTCTATGGCCGAGGGTGGAGCAAGTGGGAGACACCCACCTAACTCTAATTTGCTGGGTTCAAATTTCTAGCTCATTTCTAAGCAAGTCTATAATATTTTACTCGCTTCTGGTGTTGTATTTTCATGTAATGGCACACAAGAAAGACTTATCTACCTTATAGGCATGATTATATTTCAGTGTCGTGTGGCGAGAACTAACTCGCCAAGATAATAAATCTGTACAATGATACATATGCTACGATTGCGCAACTAAATTAACCGACCGATTCATTAGTTAAAAGCTTTTAATTAAGCGGAGATAAAGAAATATCTCGCGATTTTTTTTTGTTAATTCTATGTTAAGTAATAATTCCCGTGTGGGCTGGCTAATCTATTACTTCGTCCATTACTCGGGTCCTTTCCTGCATTTCCATAATAAGGCTTTTGTCAAAATGCTAAACGACAAATTTTCCTAAGGGCTAAATACCGAATATGGGTAGGGTTTACGTAAGCTGCCGAAGTTGCATTTAATTATTGCCCTCCTAATCGATTAGTCAAAATGTCATTATTTGAGCTGTTGGCCTATACGACTCTGTCTGCATACGTATACTGTCTATGAGTGGTTTACTTACGTGTATCCGATAGCTGTTCGAAACTAAAACGTTGCTGGCTTAGGTGAAATTGCCATACATGTCGTAGAACTAAAATTATAGTTTCCACTTTTGATAATTGATAGTTCCTTAAATTAGTTAGCTCTTTCTACAAGGAAAAACACAACTTCTGCCGACAGCCAGTGTGGCCCTGAAGCTATATTTTTGGATTTACTGGTGTGCTTTTAAAAGGTAGGGCCTCTTATATATCAATATAAATTGATTTTCGGGCGTCTACTAAGTCTCTTACAACAACGAGGCTTCTTAGATGCTGATTTCGATTGTCTACAATTTTGACTTTTTTACTAAATAGCTTAAAAACAAAATCTACTACTGACATCTGAATTGACATCGTGAAACTTGTGGCAAAATGTGCACTTCGTATGTAATGTGGGCTTCCTTTAGAATTAATAGAAAGCAATTATTTACCCACTTCCTGTGAATTAACGTGAACGGCGTTCCTGTTGTTTCTACGAAAAGTACACTGCCTTATACAATACAACCCTATAAATATAAGCTCAGCCTTGAAATTAAAAAGTGCGGCTACCCACGTTTATAAATAGTCAAAAGGAAATTTCCATAGGCAACACAACCTTCTTAGAAAACTCGGCTTAATGCATCCGAGTAGTTGCGTTTATTCTGTCAAACAATGTATAATCCTAGCGTCAGTTTATTCATATTTACGAAAGAGGCAACGAGCGTTCTTCGTGATGATACCACACGTGGAAATGCAATGAAGAGTTTGGTGTCTATAAACGCTTCTGTGCCGGTTACTTTTTATGGAAATTAAAAAAAAAAAAATGCTTTAAGCAGATTCGTAATAAACTCGCACAGTTCGTAACTGTCACACTGTACCAAAGACTGTCTTGTGAAAAATCCCGTAGACATTTAGGTGCATTATTTTTTATTGTTCCATTGCGTCATTGTCGGTTACCTGCCATCGCGGTGCTATTTTTTGTTTTTTTAGAGTATAAATTATCCCAAACGAGAAAGGGGATCTTTCACGTGTATCTTAGCGTAACATGGTTTTATAAAGAAGCGTACAGTGTATTTTTTGTCGCAGTATCATGCTACATAATTTGAACCTTCCTTTGATGCTACCACGCCGCATTCGAACTCACAAATATGGTGCAACTGCACGTAATTTTTACATTTTGTTCAGTTCATAGGACAGAAATGTGCGCCTTGCACTTGATCTGTTGGATATGCTAATATTTATTAGTCTCAAAATCCCATGTTCCTATGATGGTGCTCGCGATCGTGTGACACTTTCCTATTAATTTTCCTGCTTTTCTATTTTGCAGGTACACCTGTAACCTCGGAACCGAGTCGACTGCCTCCGCAAATGGCTAGCAATAGCAGTTTGTCGGCAATACCTGGCCTCGGAGGTTCTCCAATGGGGTCGGGAACGCCTAGCAGCACGGGTGTGCCGCTTTCTCCGGGTGTGTCAGTTCGGACACCGCCGCCTCCACCTCTGACACCGCTAGCGCCGCCCCCGATGCCGACCGGCCTTTTGGCTCCGCCGCCAATCCCGCCACCGCCCCCACCCACTTTTCTAGGTACCGCATCATCAACAGCAAAATCTGGCACCGCTCCAAGAGCAAGATTGCGCGCAGCGCCTTCAACGCTCGCCTGCGCTACGCCACACCATCACCATCGACATCAACAACAGCCACATCAACAACAGCCACATCAACATAGAACAAAATCAACATCAGCAACAGCATTAACACCACAACCAGCACCACCACCATTATTATTATTATTATCAACAACTGCTTCTACATCTGTCATAACTCCGATTGCACCTGCTTCAGCACACGACATAGCTGAAGCAGAGATGCGTTGTGGGCGAAATGTACAAATAGCGCCAAGAGATGACTCTACGGATGGCAGTACCAATATAGGCGCTGGAAATAGCAGTAAAAATAGTAGTAGTGATAGCAGTAACGGTAAAAGTAGCAGAAGCAGAAGTAATAGTCGGCGAAATAGTAGCAATGACAATGATGTTCATGATGATGTTGGCTCTATGGATGATGCTTATAATGAGGACGAGGATGCTCATCATCGTATTGGTGTTGTTGTTGACGACGACGACGACGACGACGACGACGACGATGATATGGATGATGATAGACCGAGACCAATTCGCACCGTGGTCACAGGACGGGCGTCGGCAGCCGTAACCGCAACGCGGCGGCCAACTCCGGCTGTCACGACCCCGCCAGTTCTCTCACCAGTTCGTCCACGTGAACCCTTATTGCCTATTGCAACACGGGACGAAACTCCCAGGGGAACACGACCTCCCTTGCTGCCTCTATCGAGATGTATGGATGAGGATACCCCTCAAATATCAAAAGGGATCGTTTTTCCGCATCGGTCTACTATAGTGCAGTCCTCCCTTTTCAGTCGAAGTGGTGGCACTGCTCAGGCATCACAGTATCGTCCATTGTTGTCGCTGTCGGGTGTTCAAACTCCGGCATATTTCGCGCTCCCTAATGGCGAGCAGGTTAGAAACCGCGGTTGTTGTAGTCCACCGGGTCAAAACGGCAGCTCGATGGCAGGACCGATCAGAACACGACGAACCGGAAGTGTCGGTTCAGGATCAGAGGCTAGCGGACGAGCCCCTTTACTCCGAACTCCACCTTCGTATAGTGTGCGGGCACCACCTCCCATGGTCTTGCCTTTGCGTCCTGCCGCTGCTGCTGGAACTAGGGGCCGAGGGTCGAGCAGAAGAGCCTTTTACTAATTGACATACATACATACATACATACATACATACATATACCTGCGATATGTTATTTTGAACGTGAACAAAAGCAGAAAGAAAAGAAGAGCGAAAATAATACATCCACTATAATATAGTCTTAGAGAAAAGGTGCGTTATAAAAAATCATCGGAAAAGTCATACGTAGGAGACTAAACTGGCTATCCTACTGGGGAGTCTAAAGCACGGGGGTGGTCATTGTACAACTAGGTAGAAGATGGGAGTCTTAGTTCGTCATAAAGCAACGAAAGAGAAGTTTTCGTTGGCGATATCGAAACGGAATATTATTCGTGTCACTGTGGACGTGTTTGTGATAGCGAGTCATATAAATCAGAGTGATGATTATAATTATAGCAATTCAACAACCGGAGTATCTTGCGCTTTGTTAGTAGGTTCCCCAATCGTTGAGGGCCTCCGCAGAAGTAGAAACTGTATAGGGAGTGCCGAGGGAATTAGCCTATCACAGGGACAGAAGCTTAGAACAAAATCACTGTTGCTATTAACACAGAAGTCAACGATACGAAGTAAGTGAAGAGCTCGAGGAAAAGCATAAGAGCAACTATTGAGAAAATCAACTATGGTTATTCGTAATGGCTTCGATCGATTAGTTAGTACAACTGTAATTAGAATACTAGCCAGCCGTAAGTTCTCAGACGCAGGTACGCACCATCGGCCTAGCCCATTTTTACCAGGTCTAGTAGTGATCTGAAGGCGAAAAAATGACGGATGATGCTGTCCTGTTGAGTTGAGTCAAGATGCAGAACAGACAGTACATTTTGAGTACACTATTTATTTCAACCTATTCGCAAGACTTTTGAAGGCCTCGAACTTTGCATTGTAGTTTATAGACACATTGGACTCTGTGGTCAGGTCGGCTATGTCGCAACATGGACTACCGAGAAACAAGCATGTGCAGTATATCTATATATATATCTACATAACACAAGAGACGAGCACCGAAGGCTATTTCTCCCATGATCTATATACAGATATGCAACCGCTATAATACTACATAATAATGGTCCACTGCGATGCATTAATAAAGGTACGCTGACAGGATATGGTGGTAGTAGATGGTAAATCTGCGTTGCAGAATTATTCTTAAAACTTTTTTTTTTCCAAAATTAGAAGATTGTTGAGAGAATTGTCGGCGACGGTGCTGCAAATCGCTCGAAACAATGGCTGTTATTGTACTCGACTCGATATGAAAAACTGAGCACAGAAACACTCCGCATGAACATATAAATAGGGTCAAATAAAATAATCCAGTCATTGACACCCATACTCTTAATATAGCTAATACGCAAAGTTAGAGAACTATTTCTTGAGCTGTTTTGTAGTAATGAGAAAGATCGGAGCGACAGTTGATGATTAAAAGTCGATGGTGGAAACGGTCTAGAGCTCTGCATTTCTCTAACTGACTCTTGTTCTCTTAGAGGCTGTTCGATACAGATTGTGTCAATTCTGCTATTTAGATTTTCACCGATGATGATGATGATGATGATGCTGATGATGATGATGATGATCATGACGCTGATGTTGCTCATTTGACTATTTAATCTACCCGGTAAAGCTTCGTTCATTTTCGAAAAAAAATAGGCAGTACATATTTTTTTTTTTTTCTTTCGATACGATAATTTATCTGTGTTTTTTTTTTTTGTGTTTTTCCTTTTGCAAGATGAACAGTGATAACAGTGATTAATCTATAATCTAATCATAATCTATCTAGAATACGTCACTAGCCCGTGGCCAGCGATCGTAACCGTGGGGTGAAATAGCACAGTGGATGTAAGTAAGACACGAAAGAACGGGTTTACTTGTTTCGTTCCGCGTTATGTAATTTTTTACTATGGTAATAGTGGACCAGTTAGGCGAGTATTGGGAAGCTGTTTTGCGAACGATATCGGCGCGATCAGGTGTTAATTTTTAAGATCTAGATGTGAATATAGTTTGGTTCGACCCGATTGTACGATATATACGTGAACACAAGATTCTCGAAGGATGTATTGTGAAGGCGGATTAGCGAGGCCGTGGGTTGCGGCACTTTTATTTCTGGGTTTGCTAATCTACGCCGCCATTTTTATTTGGGGACGGAACTTTTGCTGCATTGTATGATGTACAATAGTTGCATCTATAGCTTTCTCAGCTTTCTGTTTGCTGTAAGATCATTAGAGCGATCTACTCTTTCGACGACCTTTTAGGCGACTGAGCCTCTGCTTCGGCGGAGTGCTCCTATTGTTCGGAACATCCCTCTTTATACGACCCCGTTATGCGAAACATGCTGTATACTTGAGTTTGTGCCTTAGTTCAAAACACCGTGTTATATGCCTGTTTGCTTTCTGTTTTTGTTAGGGCTGATATATCTCAGCGCCAATCCCCATGTTGTAGTAGAGTTTGAGTTTTCGTTGACAACTCGAAAGAACTGCATCCAGCGGGTGACGGACTGCACTTGTGCATGACTGCCAAGGTGGTATAAAAATCAACACATCTATCAGACATACGCTAACTAAGACAGCTTGTAAAAAGTTCTTTGAGAACATGAATTTATTATTATATAGCAAATATCATTAATTACATTAGTGTCCTTTAAGAGAGGCGTTAATGCAACACCTCAAAGAAAAAGCGTTATTATTTTTGCTCTAGACTTGCCTTCAGAGAATTCAGGCATTCAGTTGTTATACGATATTAACTTGCTCCCAGTGTTGATCATATAGCCATTAGCTTTACTATCTGACCCAACAAGTGGCTAATAATTAGCTGTTTTCACCTTAAAAACAGACAGTGACACTAACTGTGATCGCCCTTTGCGGACATATACATTAGTTAATATTTATGACTAGCTTTGTTATTTTCCGACGCGTTTTATATTCATGTTGATGAACACCATACGGCAACGAGTGTGGCGTTCAAGAGAGACAGCGAGCAGATGGTATTCTCATTTATATGCAAGTCCATGGGTTCTCCACTTCAGTCCGCTATAATAGCAGCAGCAGCAGCAGCAGCAGCAGCAGCAGCAGCAGCATAGGATATATATATTTCTAGATGAAAAGTGACTTATGCCGGCTTAAGTGCACGTGTTTTTATATAAGCGTTTAGCTTCAGGAATTAAGCAACCACTTTTAAAAAAAAAAACAAAAAAAAAAGTACACGATGGACTTATTTGCCACCGTTTGCTGGGTAGTTAGTTTATTGTATAGACTAAAGTGTGCCTTCATGATCTGTTTTTGGGAGAAATCTAAAAACGCGATTCGTTGAGCTTTTTTGGGATGCGAATAGCTGCTCATTTGTCCAGATACTCTTGTCGATGCACGCAAGACCACATAATATACACGAGGCAACGAGTAAAAGATGGATAAGACTCCGTTCGGACCTTGTTTGCATCACATACCATTTCTGATCAGGGAGACGCCCACGCCCTTACACTTTAGAAGCTATGAAGCACGTCCTCAACCGATTCGGTGTGACTACACCAAAGTGTACTGCGATATCCTGAGAGAAAACCACCACCAGAAAAAAGTTCTGAAGCTACATTATTTAGCTAATACGCAAAAAGATGCACGCCACCCGGGCTAAGCCTCACGCAGGCAAGCCATTAGCGGACTCCCAGAGGACTAGCGGGAGAGCAGTTCAATATAAAAAGGTGCACAATGAGCTCTCTCTGTTTCTGTCAAAGTGTGTTTCAGCTTCCTTACATTCAGTTTAGCCAATCGCTTTAATTGGTCGTTATACTTAATTTGTCCCTTTGTGATGGAAGCGATGAGAGCAAGAAATGGCTTTGAGTCTATAATTTTATGTAACACAGATGAGGGATTCTGATTCTGGAAGTTCCCCTTTAACTTCTCTATGTGACTAAAAGCCCTGCTACAGTGAAGCTATTGTCGACTGATTGCCGTGCATCAACAGCAAACCGCGTTGCCGACGGCAGTTTCAGAGAGCAGATAAATGTCTGTTTATGAGTATTGCGTTGTTTATCGAAAAGCACCTTGACGAACGATCTTAATGTTTATTGAATCAATGGACCAGGTATACTTCATAATCTAGCGTATACTACGTGCCACACACGTTTGAACAATGACGACTTAGCACAATACGACTATTGAATACCTGTTCCCTTTAACTAACCGTTTCGCTCTCTAATGAAAAAAAATCCAGACAATGCAAACATATTTTTTCAGAGCGGTTAAATATTTAGCTTCAAAACCTCAGTATTGACCGGACACGCATCAGGCTACTCTTGGTTGGCTTGATGAAGGCGTAAAGAGGGCTCGTACGGTCAATTATCTCACTGATTACATGCGGTATAACTTACTTTAACCGTATACACGCCACTATAGTCTTGTTTATTTGTTTCTAATGTTTTGCTTTTGTGACTGATTAGCCTACAGGTATCGGCTGTCTCATATCGCCGGGAAGTTCTGGCTAGGGTGTTTCCTGGTTCACTATGCTCATAGCTGATTTTATAAGCTTATAAGATATGAACATTAAAATTTTATTAAGCCCGCGTTATAGCTTATGTAGTTTTTGTTATAGTTTACACCGGTGCGATAGAACAAGCGGTTCCATAGCTGTTTAGCAAATATGGTTTATCTTACGCTGTATTTTTGATTTGATAGTGCAGATTAAGGAAGTATACGGGTAGCGTAGTGTGTACGAGGTGGTTGAAAGATAATCTTTACGTGCTTTTTAACGACAAGTTCTGATCGCATGGTTTTTGAAATAATGATCAGTCGTCACTATCAGAACTTCAGTTCGCCTACTTGTTTTTGTAAGTGCCTGCCCTTTAACCATCAAGCACAAAATTTGAAGTTGTAACATTCTAATTTTTACAGCAATGGACATCAGTGTGCTTCCTCTTCGTGTGTTGAATTAATATTATGGTGCTTGCTTTTCATTAAAGCTACTATTGTACCTGTTACCGAAAATAGTGAGCTAATTTGTACAGTTTATGCGGATTTTACGCTGAACATTTAGCAGTCCTACACTTAAGACACCACTGATTTTACAATACAAAGACTAAACATTTGTATTGGATTCGATATCTACAACAGTACCTGGAAGATACATGCAAAATTGAGAACTCGCTACTTCTTGAATGAATTTGCCATCATGTTTGCCGTTTCGCGAGCTTCAGCTATCGTTTTAATCAAGATACTCGCCATTCGTATGAGTACACCAATTTGTCTCTTCTCGGTCTCACATGACAATATAAAGCTTTTTTTAGGGATCTCGACCCGCCAAAATCAAACTTTAGATTTCATCTACTATTGTATATATTAGTTAGCGGCTTATAAATCGTCCCCTATCGTCAACCAACCCATCACTTGTACCTGAGAACGTTCCGTATGTGCTAGATTTTGGTTATTCCACGCAACTGAACCGTTGCGTCCTTAAGTAATTTTGCTTGAAGTTGCAAAATTTTTTTTTCCATAATTGTCATGGATTTATGCGAAACGTATATAGTAGGTGTTGGCAAGACTATTTTTTTGGCATCAAAAGTCAATTGACGTACGCCTATGAAGGCAGAGTTTTCACAGATCTGCAAACGTAATCCACTATGTACACAAATGAGATTCATTGTCGATATTTTGCGCTGAATCTTTCCTAGGCGGCCACCCATTACTATTTCATATTGTCCATTTTTATTATCGGGCACTACGGAATGCTTTTTATACATTTATGGAAGACACGTTATAAGTCTTTCAGCTGTTAGCATTGGGAATTTCATTTTTTTTATATAGATTCATCTTGTACTCCTCTTGCTGCATTATCTTGCTCTGTTTTCTTTTTATTTGTTTAGGTGTTACCTCTTCGTTTGCAAGTGCTGCTTCAACATTGTCAACCCTTACGCCCGCTACTGAAATCGGCCAACAGGTAAGAAGCACTGCAATGATGATGTTATCAACTTTCATATATTACAAAACAAAGCACACGTATAGGTTTACAAGTAGAGAAATATAAAATTATGTTCCCTTGGACGCGCAATTATGATGGCCGCCTTTGGCCTACGCTTCGATGAACTTCATGGGAGCTGTAGATATAGGAGGGTAATCCAATTTCTTCATCATTCAAGAACTTGAAAAATACATATTTCTCCGCGACAGATGACGGATCTTTTTGTCAACACTGAGTCACGTGGGTTGAAATGCAGAATTGTCGTTTATACATAAGTATAAATAAAATTCGCTCAAAAACGCTATTAATAAGTTGTAGGTGACCGCTACATTGCCATCGGAGAATATGTTGTTAAGGTGGGACTTTCGCACCCCACTAATAGATGTGGATCTGGCGTTTGGTTATGAGTTTTCTATTATATAGTTAGCCCTGAAAACCGTAGTATTGGTAGAAAAAACATGTTTGTTATTTAGTGGATGCCATAACGGTGTCCTCTTGACAACGTGATGTGTAATATTTATTAATATAAACCGTACAGAAAGCGAGGCAAAACTCTAAGTACGGAACCAATTCGATATATTGGGTTTAGATACTACAGATAAGTTAAGGCTCTACATTGTAGGGCTTGTAACCTATGCTTCAATTGCCTTCATCATCATTGTCGTCGCATAGCTTTCAACATGACAAACTTTGCCTTCAAAATGGAATTGAATAAGTGGCCAGGGTTTTTCTGTTAGTAATTTATTGACACGCCGTTTTAATAAGATCCCAATTGTCCAATTAGTGCAAGTGTAGCTCAAGTCTTTGTAATCGCATGAAACGTCGCCTTAGGGTACGGGTAGTTAGCCTCTAATAATGAGACTCATGTCATTTTATTCAACCTTAAAGGTCTGTGTTGAGAGATATGCAGATTTAATGACACTACGAGGTTACGTTAGCAGTAACACTTAATGCAGATATCCACTTTATTTTACGTGTGTGTGTGTGTGTGTGTGTGTGCCATTAGTGCTTGTTCTGTTTATGTATAATCTTGTAAATATATATACAAGACAGACAATAAACAATTTGGATAAGATCTTCAAGTCTATATTATAAACTATACGTTTTTGTCTTGCAGGACGAAATCGAAGAAGTCGATATGGAGATTGATGACGATTCCGACCAGGAAACCAAGTACGATAGCTCACGGCCTTCTCCAGCACAGTCTCCTACAGAACCTGTAGGGACCAATGCCACCTCCGCTGACTCAGGTAGATCCCCTGTACAGGATAATGAAGGGGGTAGTCACGAGAACTCCCGTGATAATTCGGACGATCTTACGGATCTCGCTGACCGCATGACAGGAAATGCCCAAACAAATAGTAGCGGCTCATCGGATCCCATCGAAGTGTCCGCAGCAAAGGATGTTGATCTTCGGATTCGGTATATATATTCTTTCTTATTTCACAGCTATGTAGAATACGTGCAACTTAAAAATCGTCTTGGGCTCAACGGGCGAATAAAGATGGCGAGCACACAATACATTTGTTTTCTCTCAGCTACCTGCCCGAATTGGCCTAGCCTTTTTTATTTGTCACGCGGAAGTTTAACAAATTTCAGGTCCGAATGTCGAACAAATTCCTTACGACGTACCGATCATTCTGTGCCATTCTAATTGCAAGTGAAGAAAACATTAGACACATTACACTTAATGAACCATTCTAACTCTCTTGGGATTCTTCCCAGTTAAATCAGAAGAGTTATTTTGCCGCGTGTTGTTATAGGCCGGGTCAATTTCCGTGCGTACCATTTCCTCTCGCGTCGACATCGACGGGCTTGGCTCCATTGGTGGTGGGAGATGTCGACGAACGTATTCCACCCCCGCATATGTTCAGACCTAGTGGAAATGCTCGCTTGGGAAATACAGCTCGCGGTTCACGAGTAGCGTTTCCACCAAGTTTAGCAAGCGTTTCTACAGATTTAGGATTCTCCGAATCGGGGGATCGTGTATTCGGGCATGGTCAGCAGGGTTTTGCTCCTGGATTTGGGCCTGCTGTTCATCCAGGAACTACGCCTCCGGATACACCTAGTGGGCTAGATCGGTTGGCTTCGCCCGTTACTCCCTCTTCGTTTTTGAAAGTAGGTGGACTTAATAACACTCTATTAGGACTAATGTCTTTAGATCACGCACAATAAGCGTACGACGTCTATATCTGTTTTTATTATGTATTTTATTTAGCTTCTTTGATATCAGACGCTGACCAGTTTTACTCAAATTAAAGTCAAATTAAAGGCTGGCTGCGTACAGAACTCTCGATGTTGCAATAATTCTAAAAGCAACAGAAACTAAGGTAACAGTTGTAATTATTAACCATGAGACGCATAGTCAATACAGAACAAAAATGCAGAGGACTATAAAATGTTTGCGTTTATGAACTTTTCCTCTGTAGCAGCATACAGATTCCAGTAGCCCTCCATCTTATGCCCCAACACCTGTCGGAGATCAACGTCGATCTTCAGGCCAAAAGTCCACTGAAAAATCAACAGCGGCCAGCGATTCGCGACCTAACCCGGACGATGGGGCGATCAACATTGATGACCTTCTCCGAAAGCTGGCTCCAACACTACGACAACAATCAACAAGTGCTAACTCGGATACTGCATCGCCTTTTATTCAGGGTATGATTGACTACGATCTAAAAGGGTTCATATTCAACGTGGAATGTGAATTCCGATAGTATTTAGCATTTTAGCAATCGCTTCCAGCATTGCTTAGAAAATAATTTTAGCATTTTGGAATAAAGTGATCTGTGTTCGCGTCATCGTGTCGACTATCCCTAAACTGGTTACTAGTCCTCGAGTATGGGTAGGAAATCTGACGCTCCTAGAATGAGACGACCGATATCCTTGTATAAAATATCGCTGCATTTGCTCCTATCGGGAACTGGGTTCATAAATTACCTTCCGTGGCCTTCCATGGACACATGTGTAATCACCTACAGTACCAATAGTATAAACTTTGCGAAATTTTAGAATGCACAAACGCAAGAAAGAAGGGCATTAAAGACGTCGAGCAGAAGGAGACGGAAGCTTACTCTCCTGGCGACAACGAGGGGGGGACAGCATATGATCCTGAGGATGAAACGGACCCGTATGATCCTGAGGATAATTTCGTGCTTGTGGAACCAGCCCGAGTAATTTACTCTCCGCCAAAGGATGTTCCGATTACATCAAGCTCGACACACGATCTGACTGCAAATTCGGTTGTGTCCCAAAACAGTCAGCCAAGCTCATCGCAGTCTGCAATGCCAAATACGGTGCGAACTACCACCACATCGAAAGTTACGACGTAAGTTCCGTGAAAACGCCCTTTTAGGATTTGATCTTAGTCTAGGCTGAAACACAAGTAATCATGTTTCAAAGAATGACAAAAATTTAAAATTGACAGTTCGGACATGTCAGATTTAATCACATCCTATGTTCTAGAAGACTCCCCTCTAGCATGTAAGTGACAAATTACATGCTAGGGGGGAGAAGGAAAGAAAAATATTCTTCTACTGCCTTAATGTTACATGTTTTTAACGAGATATACAGAATGTTCGGAATAAATCGGCAACAGGCTGTATGTCGTAGCGGGCGTGCATTCGCCGCCTATCCTCGGTACTAGACAAAAGCCTTTTTTTTTTTTTAGAACAAATGCAAAATCTTATCATAGATAAGGCACCAGATTTGTAATCCAAGTGCGAAAAAAGCTCGACATCTACGTGCCAGACGTAAACTCGTTGAAATTTTAGACTTGTTTGAAATCGATGGTTTACGTTGTCACCAGTCTCCATGCGGCTTCTACGTAACTCGAATATGATTGCCACGAGTTGAAGAAGAATACTTACAGTAGAAATTAGATTGAAATGGCCCTTGAAAATGCCCTTATTTGTAGTTCCTGAATGTCTATACTGTACTTTCTATGTCTGTCGCTTTGGAATAAGCCCTTAACAGGTCATCACATTTTATTATCGTTTATTATTAAAGCGTTACGTAAGAATTTAAAGAACGGCGTTTTTATGAACGGTTTAGGCCCTGAATTCAAGCCGTAGTCGAATCCAATTATAGTTACATTAGATCAACAAGTTTATCATGCGAAAAACTTTCCCCGCATATTTGTTTTCGTTTAAATGTGGCCTATAAATTTGTTCCTAGCACCCTAAAACGGTACGCACATTATTTAGGAAAGGCTGGCTAATTGATAGTTGTAAGTTGTTCTTCTAGCTCCTTCGCTATTGTTTGGTAGCGAATTATACAACGCACAAATCATAAATGTTCAACAAAGTTTTTTTTTAGTCACTGAACATAGTTTACGTTTACTTACAGCAACGATCCAGAGATAAAATTTTTTATAGTTTTCACTAAAATACTCAAAATCGGTAAAGCCATTTACATGATTTCGAACGGATATATATATTCGCTTTGAAGGGAATAATACGATTTAGCCTATTACAACCGATACGTTAATTAAGCACTGAGACTAACATTTAAATACCTTTCTTATTTTTAGAATAAGCCCGTTGTCACCAGATCGGCCACTCATGGTTTCGGCCGTGCGTCCCCTTAATCGGAGGGCTCCCGGCACTCGACTTAACGACGAGGTTGCCTATCTAAGTGATCCACGCGCGCCAGCTATCGATAGCGCTGAAGTAGCGTTCCTTACAGACCCTCGAGCTAGTGGGTCCACAGCAAGCTGCGGGGATGCATTGAAACCGAAGGTCGAAGTCGAATACTTGACAGATCCTCGTGCTGAGCCCCGAACTATTTTGGAACCCCACGCGGTGACCCCTGAAAAACGCCGAGACACGAAGGAAGTGTTTGATTATGCCCACCGCAATAATGTGCAACCTGGGGTCTCCGTCGTGAGGCCGGTAACGCCAGCCAAGCACACAGGGCCGTTGAGCAGGCTTGCTGATCGACGAGAAGCTATTATCGAGCCGTATTATGGAGAGCGACGGAGCCCAACGAGCACACAGAAGCCGGTAAGGACTGCTTCCATGGCAACAGCGGCATCCCAACACCACCATAGCAGTGGTACGCATGGGCACGTTGATGCACGAAACAATTCTGCTAAAGACAGTTACGAGCACCGCACGTCAGCTCATGCGTTCAAGCAGCAGACAAACAACAAGAACAACAACAACAACAACAACAACAACAACAACAACAACAACAACAACAACAACAACAATAGCACCCAGTATGCGAGAGGACACTTGTCTTCAGCTTCGAAGAGCTTTGACAAGCGGCCTGTGTGTGGACTCGAACCGACAACTCCACATCATCACCTCAACAACCACAACCGGCGAGACGGTAGTTATCGTGGGGATAGGAAGGATAATATGCGACAACAGCAACAACGGTCAATTCCCGAAGATCAACCGGAACGCGGTCTAGTGGATGAGAGGAGATCACCTCCAGCCCATGTCAGAGATGGCAGCCATGGACGTCCAGATGGAAATCGGCATAGCAGTGTCCGGGGAGGCCGAGGCCGTGGTGCAGGCGACAGTTCTCGAGGCGGTCGCAGTGGGCTTCGTCAGCAAACGATGGGACGTGGGTGGGGTGCTAGCCTCTATCGTGAGGAGAAGGTGTTCGGTTATCAACATGATAAAGTCGATTATTTAAAGTTGCCCTCAGCACGGAAAAAGCCGCCCCAAACAAGAATGGCGAACCGCCAGCCGGGAATACCGACAACGCCCCCCGTAATTAAAAACAGTGGCAATACGATTACAGGAACTGGTGGGAAGCCTGCAGCCGCCGGCGAAAAACATCAGACCAGCCCTCTAAAACTAATGCACGCAGCAATGATGAACGAACAGCGCGAGAAAACTGAGAAGAAGGACCAGGAACAAGGTGATACAGGAACAACAGTTAGTGATAAAATTTCATCTGGTGACGACAGTAGAACCGCGCACGAAGGACACGAACTCGCTGTGGTTGGTGCGCTTGAGCAAAACGTAGTGACCTTGGAGATAAGCGACTTGGAAAGCGGAGGTTACGAGGATGACCCGATGCTAGCTGGATCAGGAGAACTGACGATTGATCCGTACGGAGCAGGCGATCACGTAACCTTCGATACCTCAAGTTCGTTTGTTATCAAGGACTTCTCTGAGGAGGGTGAACAAGGAGCGCTGCCGCTAATCGAGATCGGGGATCCGGACGACAGCGAACTCTGGAACGATGCCGGGGCCATTCTCGATATTGACGACGGGTAGGTGGTAATCGCAGAGTCAAAGAACCTTCAAGCCCTGCAAACATTCCCCCAGTACTGATCATACCAAGCGCCGTTTAGTTTGAAAAGATATAAAATATTTAGGTTCTAGTAGTTGCTTGATTGACTTAAGTTTTTTACCTTGTTTTTAGCTGTTTTAGTTAAGGTGTTGCAAATGTTAGTGGTTAAATCCGCCGTAACTGCGTCCCAACACCTCAAGTGCCACATCAGTGCTGGGTCTTCACAGGCATCGAAGAATCCCGCACTGCTAGACACCTACGATTTCTCAAAGGTAGTTAGTAGGTACTACGTCCATTTTAAGGATTTGTAAAGGTGCTATTGAGCTTTGTCCTACGTATCCTTCAACTCGAAAGTCTCAACAATGCAGTTATGGGCTCACATACGGCATGCTTTTATCTGGAAAGACTAACACATGTTTCTTTGTAGTACGAGTACTGTTTATTCGGTGTGTGATGCTGATAAACTAAATAGGCCAGCTATAAATAAGGTGCGGCTCTCTCGCTTGCGAATTTCCATTCGAAGTAGCAAGTCACGGATGTCGAGATATGCCCAGAGCTCCTATTTAAGCCCCCTTCATGGCCATAACAGATCTGCTTCATATATGCCATAACTTTGGTCAGATCAAAAGCAATGTGACAGGTGCGAGGAACCGTTAATCGTAGTTTGAGTCTGTAAGACTGCTTTCAGCTTAAATAAAGCTGAAAAAAATAAAGGCGGATCGTTGAAACGGAAAATATTGCTTTGCACATAAATCTCAAATTCCACACGTCTTGATTCGGAGTATGATAATACGTCCAGTAAAGTATCTGTCGGTCGGCTAGTCATCCTTGGCGATACCAAACCGATGACCCTGAATCTGCTGTATCAAGCGTTTCTTCTTGATTATATTCCAGTAAAGGTAGTGGACGGCATGGATCCTGTATAGCTTCAAAAATACGCAATTGAAATTTGCGGGTAATAAATACTATAGGTTACCAAAAGTCAGTAACTTAAAACTGCGGGTGGCCACCTAGCTTGTAAAGGACTTTAGATTACTGGTTCGTCTGTGTGTTGGGTAAGCTGTTAACCATGCATGCCTTCCTCCTACTTTTATCTATCCTGACGTTAGAGGTTTAATAAACTTAGCCTACGTAACGGAGAGGTCTTTCGAAGGTCTATTCGTAAACTGTCCAATCGTTTTTGTGTATACCATAAGCGCGGCGATTCTATGGAAACCGTTTCCTGCATCGTTCGGTGCACGTCCTACGCACGTTGTTTGGACTAGAGCAATCGTCTGATAATAGCACGGTACTCATGTGTTCACATATCTATTAGGCTATTATAAGCAAATCCGGCAAACTTTGAAGTCGAAGAGCTTTTGCACAAATTAGGCTGGAATGATTTTTTGTGTTGAAGATGTTCTCCTTCGTTTGTCGCATACCCAATGCGTAGGGAGCTTCCGGGAAGTTATATAACATCTCGATATCTAATTTTTCCATTTATGGTTTCTCGAAGCAAATCGATAGTGGGGTTGCTTGCTGACCAGTTGTTTCTTTTAAGGCATGGAAAGCTGTAGTCATATGGACCTAGTTCAGGAGAACAGGCGGGTTAAAGCCAACATTAACTATTCCTTTTATCAAGCCAGAAAGTCATTAAGGCATAGCGATAAGGTCTGGCATTGCAATCAGGTAATGATTGCGTGCTTCCGATTGCCGTGCCAATGATCCGTGAGTTTCTCGAAGAACTCGAGATAGCGAGCTGCATACATTGTTCCATTACTGGTGAGCGTCTCGTAGCACTGATGTCCATTGCAGATACTACCATTGCCTTAAGCCCAAACTAGCACTACTTCGCCACCGAATTCATGTATTCTCTAGGGCGACGCCACTCTTTTGCCTGGTCCCTCCCCGGCTGACGGTAGAGATTGAACCATGCTTTGTGTATGGCGACGGTATGTTCCAGGCGGCTTTTTGTTGATTAAATTTTTACAGATTGCACGCGGAATATACCACACGCGTTTCCAACAGGCCTGAAGTCAATTCACGAGGGACCCATTTTTACTCAGTTTCCACATTTTGTGTATAATTATATGCAAAATTCCAGTTTTGGCCAAAGGAGACCTTAAACTCCAAGTCAGGTCCCACTACCAGGATATGTCGTCGCTGGCCTTCATTATTCCAAACTCCGTTTTTAAAACGTCTGCACCGTTCACTTAAGGCCTACTAATTGAATGTCTCCATAAGTCGTTGATAAATTTCCGCAACGCTGTGGCCTTAGGGACACAAAAACTTGACCACTGAACGTTGGTGAACTAATTTCTCCTGATGTAAACTGAACCAGTTTTCTTTCACGATTTTTTTAGGAGACTGGACTGTTCACATGTCAAGTTTCGTTTGCTAGTGGCGCGTAGTTTAAAAAAAAAACATTAAATTCAAAAGTCCGCCGGATTCTCTTGTAACAGCCTAACACATACATGAATGTACAATTTTACCTAATGCTGTTTGTTCCATAATATGAAGTTAGGGCTGACAAATCGCATTTTATTGCTGTGTGCGTTCCTTTCAGTTACGGGGGCGGCGGTGACTCAAAGTCAATAGCGAATCTTCTATCCGATGAGCCATCTGCTGTTATCACAACCGACTGTCCGAACAGAGGTTCAACTAGCTCTGCTAGAGGCGGGAAGGCCCCGCAAGGAGGCCTGCGTGGCGGCGCCGTTGCCACCTCGGTTGGTACCCGGCGTAGTTCGTGTAGGGATCGTGGAGCATTTGACGAGTTCTTCTAAGTTAGGTCCTGCAAGGTCCACGAAGGGTACAACAAGTACTATCACGATTACTGGTATGATTAGTGCTTCATCGTAAGTAAGTCAAAAAGTTCCTGGTCGCGCGCGTAATCAGTTCCAGAGCTGCGGACAGGAGATTTAGATGGTGATTTACGAAAATTCATGTGAACGCTGTAAAAGCTGACCAACAAAACAAGGTATTAATTAAATGCTAAATATAGTTTTTCGAGAAGTATCGAAACGAGTATAAAAGGAAGAAAGAAAAAGTCTATTGCAATGGTCGACGGACATCGAGAGGTCATTGCGGTTTTTGCAATCGGCAGATATAAACGAAATGCAGAAGGTAGCAGGTGAAAGCGAACATACTCCAGCAGCAGCAGCAGCAGCAGCAGCAGCAGCAGCACAGCAGCAGCAGCGGCAAAACCGATCTGAATGTTTATCAGATTGATAAAAAAATTGACTAATTTGTTACTGGTCACGTGGTGAAACATACTGTTAGTAATTGATGGTTCTGCTTTATTAGATGAATGGAGAATCTGGACGCAGCCTATTTGTCTACTGTACTATACTGATTTTTATAGGAGAGTTTAAATGCTAAACACTACGTAGCCAGTAGTTATTACCATATAAATGCGGCTAGCCTCATAATGACTGCAAATATGAAAACTAGAGCACTTGATGAATGGAATACTTTACTTTTGACAGATGCACCGATTTAATAGGTGGCATGCCAGTTTTCGTTTGACCAGAGCACAAAAACATTGAATGTGTTATTACAACAAAAATAGATCTGTGAAAGCAAGTGGGTAGAGAAGGTAATATGTTAATTAACAACGAATACGTAACTACAAGATGCACACAGACGCACGAGATATAGCTGAGCTGTACTTTAGTTTGGTTTCTTCATGCTATAAACAAAAGAAAATAACGACCATACGAAGGAGCTGAAAAAGTGTACAAACGGGAGCTACAAGGGTTCGTAGCAGCAATATTTAACGACATCAAAGAACATCCAATACAAGAATTATCAAAGCACACGATTTTACGTTCTGTAATGTTGTGCTAGCAGAGTGCTGCTCTTATCATGAGCAAGATACCCGCTCCATTTAATGCTAAAATTCATTATATAAAACATTAAATGTAGATCACTCTATCACTGTCAGTATACCATCACTATTACTGTGAACTTAATACATTCAAACGAAATCTTGTAACTCAATCATTGGGTTGGACTACTAGCATGAATGACAATTGTGCATGGTAATAAAGCCTTTATATTATTATGATTACCATCATGTTACTATTATGTATTGATTAAGAGGGATAAGTCCTGGAATCTTGCGACATAACTTTCCAGGGGCAAAATGTTCATAGCCGATTTAAACATACGTCTAGATGAGCTTAGATTTGTTTCGTTTTGATTTTCGGCGCCATAACTGCTCGGAGAACTTGTCAATGCTGTTACATAATGCCAATCAACGGTGTGTTAGCCTAAAATTTAGGAAGCTCTGTTCCCTGAAACGTTCCCAGGCTGGCACATAAGTCATCTGAGTTTGATAACTGAGTTTGAGTGGGAGCTTGTATTTTTAGTGATGAAATAGTGTAAGAATTGAATGTGAAATCGATGGTCGATTTAGTGAACTCTATTGCATAACGTATTGCCTGTTGTAGAATGCAAATGTATCTATTATCTTTATTTATCTATAGATTCTATCTGTATATGTACGGGCGTTGGTCTGTAGATCTGCAGAGGTCATGCTGAACATTCAACAATACGGACTGCTTATCACTGCTTGGTTTCAAAGATGGTCGTTTCCAAGGGTAGTCTAAAGCTGGTGCTGAAATCCAATTGTTTGTGCTCGGCTACGGTTCACTACGAAAAGATAATTCGAATTCAATGAACAAGTGTCTATTACATCGGGGTACGAACATCTTCATTTGAGACTGAATTTTCGTACAAGTCGATCATTTTTGTACAGTATATCGAAGGCGAAGAACGTAAAAATTTACAATTGTTGCAGTGGCAGATATTGTAAAAGAACGTGGTTATACGAGAAAAACTTGTTCAACTTTTACGCTTACCGCGTCGAGTAGAAGTAATCAAATCTCAAAAGATTTATGGTAAAGGGGTGCTGCGAGTAAGTCGACATATATAATCAGTGATGAATGAAGCATGCATTTGAAGATGATGAAGGTCATCATTCCAAGTGCTTTTCTTTGTATATTTGTACAGTTATTACCTTCCGACGGAAGAGTGAAATGAGATTCGTAATGCAGAGTGTAGGTAGCTTAACGAAAGAACACGTGCGAGTGTGATGTAATAAAGAAAACGAGAGAGAGAGAGAGAGAGAGAGAGAGAGAGAGCGAGAGAGAGAGAGAGCGAGAGCGAGAGAGGGAGAGAGAGAGAGCGCGAGCAAATATCTATTATAAACTATTCTAGTGTTTAGGGAGGAGTCTGTGAGATCATCCGATAAACCCGATAATTGAAGTTTTGATTCAATTATCGAAAAAATGGCTGATAATTGTGTATGTTATAGTTGTTTTGCAGTAAATAAAGACTCCTTTACATGATAATAGTTGGTGTCGTTGGTGTTTATTAGTGTATGTGAAAAGGCTTAGGGTAACTGTTATGTACCAGACACAATCATAGATTTTAAAGCATAATTATTAACACTGTTAGGAATAGCTTCGTTATATTTGGCTTATGCCTTTATAAAAACATCTATGCAAGTATCGGATATTATACAATTGTGAGTAAAAAACGTTTCAGATCTTTCAGTTAGAAGAACAACAAGTCAGAGAATGACTCGTTTCTAGCAAATCCTCTGCAAATTTTTACAAAATGGATGCTGTCGAGGCTATTCTGAACCCGATAAAACCGAGGCTTTTTCCACGAGGGTGAACGCCAGCACTGCTAGCGTTGATGGAACTCGTAGCACTGTTTATCAATAGTTACTTAGTGGTGGGTTTTGGCCGTGCTTTTGAAAGAGCGGAACAACCCTCCAATAGATGAGCGTGACATATATATATGTATATATATATATATCACGCTAATCTACTGGATGAGTTACGTAAGCGGCGAATAAGTACGCCTTAGATATATATATATATATATATATATATATATATATATATATAAGGCGTAAAGCGACCCAAATGAGTTTCGCAAGGTCTATCTCGGCTGCCCGTTTTGATGGGGTAGGTTCTTGAAATTATATCAAAGAAGTGATTTTCGGTACTTGATCTTACAAATCTCGCGAGAGAGTAAACAATAAAAAACAAAGAGGGGCTACAAATAAAGACAAAGTCCTTCTCGGCGAATTTAGAAAAGCTATAGCGCTGCACCTTCCCGTACGGTCACGCGAAAGTTCATACAGAATTTTGTCTCTATTTCTCAGGGGGGCCAAGAAATGGGTGTACCACCCATTAACCCCAAACTACGAGAGCGACTATAGGAAACTGATAATTAGTGTGCTTGCGAACTATTTGATCTCAAATTGTAGCACTAACATATGAAAACCACTTTAGGGAGTAAGGAGATTAATCTATGTGCTATATGGCGGTAGCTGGATCACTAAGCCCCATCAACGCCCTGCTCCCATCAAATTTACACTTTTTGGGTAACTAAGTACGCCGAGACCTACAAATAACATCTTCTAGGTATGTTTATTGGGGACTATATAAATAGCTACTACCCCGTGGTGAGTGCTTGCTCCGTTCGCATGCAGCATCGATGCCGTTCGATACTCGAGGCCGTACACATACGATACATTGTTCTAGGAAATGAGAAAAGCACTTTGTATGTGACGTGTGCAGTAGCTCCGTAGTTTACAGGTTCCAGGCGTGCTCTTTGCAGTCGCTTGACTATGTCTCAACAAGGCCCCTGCTCTAGACTTAATCAACAACGAGTATAGGCTTCATTCCTGACAGCTTACTGGACCTCAGTCTTTGATGTTTGCCTATGAGAGAGCCGCATGGGTATGCGGCGGCTATTGGTAGGGGATGTTACTTGCAGCGCTTTAGAAAAAGCAATTTTTCAAGAATTTTCAAGCCGAGCCAAAGAAGCCAATGCTACGAACTTCCAGTCTCCCTTATAACTAATCGTCGTTCGAGGTTCTTAGAGTGTCCTTGAGCTATTTTAGACAACGTGAGGGTTTGGCGCCCACTAATCGATCTCTCCGCCTGTTCTATACATACAGAAGATACTCGAGCCATTTTAATCCGGCAGGTGCCAGTTCTTTATGCCATTTTCCTGGATGGCTGAACTGCATTGGATACGACCTAAAAGTCTGTCTTCAAGCTCACTTAGGTGAATGTCTTTTTGAGGCTAATGAAAGGTGTATTCGAAGAGTACGAAGTTGCAGCGGATTACGGCGTGCGTAGGAGTTCAGTCATTTGATTGATTTACTGTGGTTGTGCCTGACAACCTTAGCCCCTTACTCTCCTCTAGAAGCATATGATCATACACTTTTTTTGGATGTTCCTGGGAACCACTGGCACGCGCTCAATTGTACTTGGTTCTGCAGGTATCCGGGATATCATGCAGCGAGAGAACTAGATTAAAAAAAAAAAATATTACCCACGTCTACTTATCTAATATTCGTATTCCGTAACGCACCTTTTATAGCGGTGTGAAATGGATTGATCTTTAAATAACGAGATCTGTATTGGCGCAGTCACAGTGGGCATCGACATATACTTAACTTATACCTCGCCTTAATGTTTAAGTGGGCTCTCAACGACTAATCCATTGGAACAAATGTGAATAGTCAGTTGCAACTACGAAAAGCATACGAGCCAAATCAGGGTTCAATCAGCTGTATCAGTTGGACAAGAAAGAAGCATCGTGCCGATAGGAAAACTTTAATTGTTAAGCATGCTTGTACGGCACAGATATAACAATTCTTCTACTATTTCGAAGAATGTCATATCGTAGATTGAGGATAGACATCCTGGCCGAACCTAACGGCCAATATAGCTACGGATACTATGTAGATTTTGCCCTAGCCGAGCATAAATTCGATAAAAAATTCAAAATCACTTAGAAACAATTCTAAACTAAAACAACAACATAAAAACAGTCTTTGTTCAAAGGAAAATGAATGGCTTGTTTACGTTTTTTCACAACATTTCTTTGAGGACAATTTCGAAAAAATAAAAACGTTATATAAGTAAACTGCTGCTTGTTGAAAATTTGCATTAATTTTTAGTACTATATAATAGCAAAAAAACACATTTTTAAGAAACAATGCAAGTCCGCATGCCAGTGCAAGGTGTTTAGTCGACGGTGTCTCAAATGTACCGACGCCTCAACAAACTCTTCTAGGATTCCATACTACTTTTCTGTGTGTGGCGTAGAATAACGGCACCTGTTATAAGGCCAGTGTCTTTTTGGTGCTTTATTGACTATTGCTTGGTAACCTTACGTAAGCAAAGTTTAAATTCTGGTACCCTAACGATGGCAGGCTTGTAACTGTGCCGGGAGAAAATGGCTTCAGGTCTGATGTTCGAGGCGAAATTAGAGAAAAATACACTACGCATCGTCTTGAAATTGTGACTGGGGACACCAGTGTGTATCAATCGTACACACAGTACAGCGACCTGGTTTTTGAGGTTAGTTAGCACGCTGGCCTCAGCTGCCCTCAAAGTGCAGATAAGTAGTCACGACCAATGACGTTATTTCGTTGTGGCGTGCTGTGTATAGCCTGCTAAATTGGCGGCCAAATTCTATTTTTCATTCATATAACTTTTTTCCTTGTGGTCTTTGGAGAAATGTCCAGTTTGGCATGCTACCTTCCGGGACGCTCTAAAAGACTTTTCATAACCAACTTATCGCTCTTTCTTCGTAATAGGCCATATATAGTATGGCTTTAGAAATGTGCCCAAGTAGAGAACTTCAAATTTGCAGAACTGGGATAAGAGAAGATATTAACTGAATCATTATTCAGCGTACTGCCTAATTTTTTTTAATCGAGTCTACACGCAAATTTGTCTAAACTTCACACGCTAGACGAACACATTACTAATGTTCCATTGCGGACACGTTTTGCGGGAACGTTACGAAGCATTAGAATCCATGGACGCGAACGGTTAGAAACGCGAAAGCTATTGTACCGTGTTTGGCTGCACAACGCTGATAAACAATTTCAGGAAAGCAAAAGTTTAAAGAAGTTTTTTTTGGCCTGCAGCTTCTTTCTTCGTCTTTGAATCGAGTCATGAATAAGTCCTTGAAATCATCTTTTCCGCAGAGCGTTAAAGACTTCCCACTAGAGATGTAGCCGCGGTGAGTTTTTAGTGGACTTCAGTTTAGAGCCTTTCCGACAGGCCTACAAATCCGAATGATAACCATAACAACGGCTCGTTGATATCATAATGCCAGATGTTAATAACTCCCTGTATCAATTATTATTTACTCAGGTTAGGTTTTGAATTGGCATGCGCCTCGTTCTTTCGTGGTTACTACTGTAAAGCACTCAAATAAACGCATACTAACCACTTAGACCACGTATAAAAAAGAACACTGGCTTAAGATAGGTGAATAAGAATAGGGTCAAAAAGAAGGAGATCATTAACTTCCTTTAGATGTACACAGACGAAATGCAGCGTTGGCCTACGTGGCCTGCGGTAAGCGGACATACACTTTTCAGTGTAGTTTGCTTATACATATTGATTAATACAATTGAGAGGTTTGTCAAAAAAATGTTTGAATAACATTAGGTAGACGTGTCCCACCTTTTCGTAGCAGTAAAGGTTAGGCCAGTCTAATCTAGCACCGTTAGTGAGCTTTTGAATACGAACTAGGTAAGTCAGATCTAGTCAGATAATTACCACGTATTAGATACAGCGAGCGATGCGGCTAGCGGAAAAAATGTTATAGGACTTTTGTAAGTTTGAAACTTTGACGGCCATATATGGCACGTTGTCCTTCTTCTGCCGACTAATCTGGCAAAACCAAAAAGGTACGTGATTTACGAGACTAGTAACTTATCTAGTTATATTTTCGCTAATCAAAATCTGGCAGTGCTTAGCCAAGTTGATGCGAACGGTAAAGGGTCGCCCAAGAGTAGCAGTTAATGCAGCAGCGTCATTCCTACGAGCTGTTTTACATAATCTTGGTATAAGACCTTGGTCATCTCACCACTGAGTCTCCGCAATGTGCACTGTTCCAATAATGACAATTCCAGCAGGCCCGATCGACTTCATTGTTGCCCATGTAGCTGGTCTGCCATCTAAGTACAAAAAACATCATAAAGCCCAACTGCCAATGATTTTCGTTTCCACACATTTTCTGCGGATAGAATTGGACGGATTTGACTTGGTCAATATGCAGTTCCGACAATACAGTGCCGTATGGCATACGTATACGCATTGGAAACGTTGAAGTTCTTGAAGTAGAAGTTTGGCGGAAGTGTAAATTTGAGCAAACTTGTTTTAGTTCATATAGCCTAACACCGGCGAACCGCTTGCTGTGAAGCTTTTGAAAAGTAAACGCAGCTCGAGTAAAAACAGTTCGAGAGCTACTAGTGTGTGTTTGACGTTGACGACAATCCCCCATCGATGCCAAAGAGTCGGAG